ATAATTTCATCAGTAGGTGATTCGAATAACAACACAAATAGTCGTATGGATAAGTAATTAACCGAGTTATTAAGTAAGGAGGACTAAGGTAGAAGGAATTTTTCAGAAGTGGACAATTTTCATAATAGTGATGATGAATAAATAACAAAAATGATTTCTAACGAATGCATTTCTACTACTAACTCTAGTTGATATTGTGCTTAGAAAATATACAATACGTAGATACTACTTAACTATCTATAAAAGCTAGTTCCCATTCAGTTTCAGCTTACCCATCGGTTTGCTTATTCACGATCCAAAGAGACTAACTAAATCCCCATTTCCTTATGTTTCAAAGTAAAGCAAATACTTGCTAGTAATAACCACGTGGTGACAGTCAAGTGGGTGACTAAGTTGAGCTAGGGCTGCTACTTGTTCTTGTGATAAAGGAGTTTGAATACCTTGTTTCTCGCAAATTGTGTTATGCTCCTACCATAAAAGAGGTCAACGAAATTATGTTGCAACCACGTAGTTAACGAGTAACGCTAAGCACATTAACCATAGTATCAGCCCTGACTTCGTCTAAAGAAATCTGTTGTGAAATGAGTCAGCCTTCACCAATTAATTTCATACCCTTTTCGTCACTTCTGAGTAATACGAACGCAAACAATTATAATGAAAGGGTATTAGGATAAGACCCGTATTTATGAAGCGGATTTTAGTTTGAATGTTTAATGCTTTGAATTCCTGTTAAAGCGCTTGAAACGGGTGCTCGGGAAATAATTACCGCCATATTGCACGGCGGGATTTTCAATTGGAGTTCCGATGCGATCGTGGTTACACTATTTCGTATCAAACGGTCCGTTGAAAACTTAAACGCTGCACAGGCGTGTCCAGCCCACTTGTTTTAATTATCCGGATTTTAATGCAAAAATCTGGTAAACGAAATGGGTAGCTAAAGTGTCGCCACAGCTTAACTTGACCTAAATGCGTGAAGAGTGGAGGCACTTACCACAGATGGCGTGTACGTTCAGTTTTTCCTTTAACACTGGTTATAAAATTCAAAGTTCTAAAGCGCCTAAACGTAAGTATCCAAATAACAACCATTTTCCAAACAAATAACTGGAGTGTCACACGTGCAGTGTGGCGTTGTAGTCGAATATGGATCCACAGCCCTTCACACTTTCGCTTTCAAATTCAAAACTGTCACAGCCCATCTTTGTTCGCTCAAAAAACATGATCATACCATACGGACACTACACCGGCCCAAACAATAGTCTTAATACGTATAACGCACACACACTATAGAACACGCTCTCCTATTGGTTAGAAAGTCGGACAGACAACAATACACGGCCAATGTGGTTTTATTGCAAGAACTCGCTCTGCTCTAGTGCTTTTGTGGTGTACTAATGTACGCACATGTCTCAAGTTAATGTTTGGCGTCGACTTTTATATTGAAACTGATGCTGTACCTACTACCTGCGATACCTGTACCAGACAAGACAACAGAGAAAGAGATAAAGACTGACTTTATGTACCTACCTACAACGTTCCAGTGAATTAAATAGACACTAAGCAACACTTATTATCACAGCAAGTGTCCCCACAATTAGTAGAAAATTTATGATATAATGGGCCATAAAGTATCAACTGGTCTAGCTTTTAATTAAGATTGTACACAGCGATAAATTAATAAGCGAAAAATTATAAGTAAGTACGTTCTTATCTAAATATTTTGCACTACGGACTCATTATGCGTTCGATAACATCAAATCGTTTGAGGTACCTATGCATTTAATAACATAAAGAGATATTGGTGCAACAAAATATGGGATGTAGATTCTGGCACCCGTGCAGTATCCAAAACAATGCTTAAAGCAACAGGAACTTCGGCATTCAAAGTCAAAGCCAAAGTGCTCATTAAACGACGATCGGTCGACTCTAAAATTAGTTGCTCTCCAGCCTTACTGAAAGATGGTCCATAAAACCGCGGCGCAAACCAGTTCTTTGTTACCTCCTTACTCAGCTTACGTACCCACGTACCACGAGATCGGATCTAAAACGAGTTTGTAGTACATGTGTTGTTGGGTACGAGGAGGGAGTGTTTGCACGGCAATATACGGAACGATACACTTGTTTCAATTGAGAAAAGTCGCTATCACGAATTGTCACGATCTCTCAGTACGAGTACATAGACGCAGCGAACGTCCTTGACGCACAGAAACAACTGTTTTAGAACGAGGACGCGTATATAACACAGTCGTTTCTACTCGCCGGTTTTATCTACGCTGCTGAACGGAAACAGATCTGCATTGCATCTCCGTTGTAAATGTAATTGCAGGAAATAATACAATCTCTCGTCTCTGTTGATGCAGTGAGGGAAACTAGAAATTATCTAGATGCAGCGGTACTTGATAATAAATTCATGTTGTGTTCCGTTCTCAAATGAAAATACGGTGCTTTTAGCTGCATGAGGAAGAGTGAATGTTATGAAAGATACGTGTTTTGGTCGAGTTGCATTTTTATATTGAGTTAAATATTATGCCACAGAACAGTATTCTTATTTAATGTTTAGACAAGTCCCTACAATGTTATCTACTCCAGCATTGATTAAAGTAATAAAGAGCTACTAAAATAGTTCTATGATACCTACATATAATAATAGTCCATTAACATACATACATATTTACTAATTAAGAGTAAACAATGAGTCACTGATGACCCATACTGCTTTACTAATCTCTAATCACGTTAGCTTTATACTATGACGTTAGTGGCTATTGTTTAACGATTTTTCCGAGAACTTCTTTATCTGTGGCACTAAAGGCAAAAAAACATGCGCAATGACTTTTATAGCCTCAATGCACAAAACCTTATGAATAGGATAGCGAACAATTTTATATAGCATTCTATCGGTGAACAGGTAACGTGTAAAAATAAAAAGGTAATCTAGTACTTCTAAACAAATTGTAGCTTCAGATAAATCATGATAAATATTTAGGTTCATCGGACATTGCCCCCACAATCAAATGTTTAGTTTATTATGTTCCAGCTTATCTTACGCTATTACGGAAAACGGAAGCCGACATACGATTACACTTCACTATACTTGAAATTTAGTGTAAAATTATGTCATTAGATTAGTCACAATTATTGAGTTACTTACATGCAATAAATTAGTTATCGAATCACTTTCATCCTGAGTACCTACAAAATGGTTTATAATACCCTTAACAGATCCGTTAAATTATGCAAAACGTTTAAGCATGAAACACTAATGAAATAACGGAAAATGCATTCTTTTGCATAATCTGACGGAAACCAAACCAGTTTGCAAGTAAAATACATCAATGAAGTCAGAAAAAATGGCGCCACTGTCGCCGGAAGATGAATCAGGCATAAAAATATAGTAACGCACTTTACTGGTTAATCAATAGCTGTTCATGCAGGATGCATGAGTCATTATGTTAAAATAATGCATCTAAAATTAGTTTTTACGTTCCTCTATAGTTTTGTATCAGCTGGCTTGTATGAACTTTCGATAGTAGTCCGTAAATATTGTAATGTACTGTACAATGAATTGTTCAATCGTGTAGAAATATGAAGCTTTATTAGTTTAATGTTAACTTAATTAAATATCTCTTACATAGTAATTCGAATAGTTATAGAGCCCACAGCATTAATAATGGTAACTGCTGTTTAACGTCATAAGTATTCAAACCCAAATATTACAGACCTATCTTAGGAACAAAGATATGTCCGAAAGAGACAGAACGAGACTTTTTATAGACAGTCAATGACATACTTATTTAATTACTGGCTATGATTAACTCAACAGATAGGAATGCTAACTTACTACAGTGCAAAACTATGGTAAGAAATTATAATTGAAACTAACAATTCAGGCAACGATTTTGAACTTTAAACATGGATCATTTATGGTGCAATTATAACACAGGCCACTGCAATATTAGTCCCTAATGATTGAGTACCCAATCGGAGAAAAATAAACACCCTTTTATTTTATTCTACAATTACAATTTTATTCTATCGAACCCAATGATGCGTAAGACCGAAATCGCGAAACCTAGCAAAGCCTGTAAGTAGATTTCCGATTATGTCACGCTTATCTAAGTTAAATTACTTTTATACGAGTCGAGAGACCATACCACGACATTTTAGAAGTTTCATTATTGTTCCTTTGTGGGAAAGGACGGATTTGTTTTATATAGCTCCTTCTCAAGTCGAAGTAATCACATCAGTATTACTTTTTTTAAAGAACATAAAAAGTAGTTGACGACGACCTATGGTATCTGCCATACCCATAGAGAAACTTAGCTTTACATTTAGATCAGCCAATACTACTATCTTCCCTAAATATCGACGGATACGGAAATCCAGTACAGCACTGGCAATATGTATGTAAGTAGAATACGAAGTGTATAAGAATAATATATACTTTTCGTGTGAAAATGAACAAAACAGCAAAATACTACCTAGTTTGTTAATTTTGTTTTTGTAGCTTGATGTGAATTTGTAACAAAATGTGATATAACAAGGAAATGACATCACTCATCATAAGACCATTGTTATTTTGGCGTGTGACTGTACCACTGGACCAATGCCACACCAGTTGCTTCTGATGGTCAGAGCAACATCTAACAATTTTGTTATTTATCAATCGAGTTACAAAACGTGCATTTTTTACACTACCTAACTAGCTTTTGTTACTAATTGCGACATTCAATTGGTTATGATTCAGCGGTGACCCCAATTTATTTGGCATAAAGCCAAAAGGAAATAAAACTAGTGTTTATTTTCCATGTTTGCCTGTTTTGTTTTCATGCCCTATCCTACAGAAAGTCAGGGATTGTTTCCTTGTGTACCAGTTTTATATTATACCTGGATATAATCAATACGTAGATATGCAAAGACAACGATGTTAATCATACACGACTGTTTTTATATAATAAAATCAACATTGCATGTCAGATCTAGCGTAACACACTTCTTAATGACTAGAGCAGTATGTAAAATATTGCGTTACGTCCACACAGGTTTACAGATGCGTGCAATAGTGGTACGGATCCAGTTCTCGGCCAGACATCTGGCGCTGTGGCCTCATTAACCATCATTTTCGCCATATTGGGGCAAAACGACAATTTCCTACCAAGATCTTTGTCGCACGCACCCGACGCCTGATTTATGAACAGGAAGGTCTCAATTTTAAACGCGAACCGCCACAATCGAAGGATGTACCAAAAGGAATTTATAACGCCGAGAATGATACTACGCAATCCACCAATAATGATTGTAGGTGGACACGGTCTGAATATCATTTGTTTGTGTTAAGTCTTTCAATGTTAATTTATCTCCGGAGGTCTAATGTGAACAGAATTCAAATGAAGTGACGATGTGTCAGTCGATTCCGAGACAAGTTCGGAGGCTCGTACGAAAGGAACGTTACATTTCAAATAACGAATTTGCTTTCAAAACTTAATTTGCTGGCAGACACAAATAAGCCTACTAAGCTAACTATTTACTAATAAATGTGGATTACGGTTGGATTTCTCTATTTGAACAAAAGAGGAAGCGAAAGCGCGTTAAACAATTTTGTCATTGTTAATGTCAATGTTACCAAACCATCAATCTAAAAAGCGTACCATGAGATGATTTAAATCGGTTTGCCGCTTTGTGAAAAACAATCCGGCGGTGTACTTTCACGTGCTTTCACCACGTGCAAAATCTCAAAAACTTGAAATGTCGATCGTGAGCGCGCTGACTCGACAACAACATGCAAATTCGCCACTCGAAATGCAACGTGACATGACGTGGGGGGAGGCAGCATTCCTAGCGCGGGGGCTGCGCGCGGGCGGCGACGGTCATCGACCGTCCTCAGGCGGCCGCGCATAAACTACGCAGCCGCATAAGGTCAATACAGCGCGCGCCATCCACGACCGGTCTCCGACCACTCGCGACCAGAACCTTTCGAAACACTATTGTTTATACGAAAATCAATTACTTAGCTGACGTAGCTGGTCGCCAAATGTGAAACTTAATTCCTCCTATTGAGTAACATGATATTACATAGGCGTATTATCTAGAAATGATTGGTCGCTAATCCGTTTAGTCGTTGTCGCCAGACGTGTCCGACGGACGGTAGCCCACTTTTACAACGTGATTAAGCTTGCCTCGCAGCCGCGTGAATGAACCTATCTCACATTGGCAATTTAATGTATTACGTAGTTTTATTTGTAGATGCTGTGTTGCGTCTTGTGTCACCTTGCAAACATCTGCTTCTGACGTGTCACCTGATCCTATGATTCATATGTATACTACAGACATCAGTCATGGTGTTCATAAAACATGTGCTAGAATAATAATACATGTCAGGTACTACTTTATGATAACAACGTTTGCAGAGGCGATATTAAGTGGCTACAAAAGCAATCTTAAATATTTCTTAAGTGATATCATATTAAAGATAAGATAGTACCTATAGTTTAAACCATTCTGTCACGAAGTTTAAATTTGGTAGCATTGGTTTCAGGAAGATAATATTTATTAACTATCACCTATGTAAATACATATAATTTAGATCTCGTGGAAAATAACAGGCTTTCTAGTAGTTATAATAAATTTTAGACCTACTTACCTTTATCACAGCAGTCGTTGCAATCTTGAAGTGCGTGTAGTATACCTTACATAAGTTTTATATCGAGCGTCGGTTCGGGTTCATTGTTACGATATCCGGTTGCTTTACATTGGTACTTTACGTCCGCTTACCACTGATTTAATAAGTTCCTTGAAAGTATACTCATAATGAAAGCGGAATTAACAGATGCGTAACATTGTTTTCTATGTTATATCTCCATTACCCACTGTTGAATCGTTTTAATAAGTAATTATCAGCATTTATAGGGGCATTTGCTGAGCTCATATGTATTATGAGAGGCGCGCCAGAACAAGTCGTTTGTGCATACCTCTTTCCAACAATACCGTCCACGAAGAACAATGGTAAAAGTTTTTAAATCTTCAGTACGCTTTATGCTTATCTTAAACGCAATCTGAACATTACCACATAGATGCTAATTACGTTATTCAAAACAAAGCCCCACTCAGCGGCTTATGGAACCAAATTTTAAATCAGATAATGTGTAGTATTTGGCGCGCCTCCTCCGAACAACAAAACTGACTTACTTTCATATCCAGCAGTCCAAGCCCACATAGACACCATCGCCAGCAGCCAGTGATACATGAGTCCTTCGATCTTCCAATAGAGGGGGGCGAACAAGGGTCTGACGAGGCGCAGCGCCATCATCCACACCACGTAAGCGGGGATGCAGTAAATGTTGTTGACGACCGCGAATGTCGTTCTTGCCACGATCCGCACGTACCGGCTGAAACAGCAGGGCCGCGTAGGTTCATCCATGACCGTCTCGCCGCGCGGCGCGCGTAGCAACCCTCGTGGGCCGGCGGCGTGCCTCAACGCAACGACATACACATGATTGGTGATATGAGATGTGACGTGCTGGACACCACAGTTGAGTGACGCGACCGACAAGGGTTACGCGAGCTAGCGAGACGAGGTGGCATGGTCGTACCGCGCTCACCCTGCCGACAGCTGCCGAGACGCGGGGGCTTTCGTCGTGCGCGACAATGGCGCTGCTCACTACCGCCGACAAATCAAACAAATCTTTATATTCGACGATATTTATTTATTGGAATCGTTCAGGGCATCACTGTCGGATATTTCGTTAAGTAGTGAGTACAAATTTTAAAATCGCCCGTCGGCGAGAGACGATCTCGCTCGCCGGCGAGCTCACATGCGATTTCGTTTGCGACACACATTTTACACCGATCGACGTAACATTAACTCGTACGACGCGAGCACACATAGACAGACATACACAATTTTTATTACGATGCTTACTGTGGCACGACCGCGGCCGGCCGAGCTCGTCGTGTAAAATTAATACAAATTTCATTATATAAAATTAAAAAACGACATCGGACCGCAGAAATGATACAAAAATTACAATATTAATGACTGTACACTATCTAATATATACAATATTTGCCAGCATAGATATGTGCGGGGGCTTTATATACAGGGCGGTGGGGTTGGTGTCACGGGCCTCCCACACGGGCGATCACACGTTATAGTCGTGGGACATCATCCCGTGCACCTGCTCGAGGCGGTACGCGAGCCGCTGCTTCTGCGAGAACTCGTCCTCCTCGAGGGTCACCGTTAGCTGCTCGTTGTACCTTTCTGCATACGCGTACAGCTCGTTCAGCGCACAATTCGTGTTGAACTCTTTAGTGTGGAGACGGGACTCCTCCGCGAGCATAGCGTTCATATCCTGATCGGATATCGCTGGCATTAACTTAATATCTGCATAATAACGCTCCACCCACTCCTTATACACAGGAATGTCTTTCGCGTAAAGAAGCTTGGACGACGGCGAGTCCTTACCAAGGATGTGGTCAGATGTGGAGCACGAATCCATAAATGTTTGCGCAATCACTGACAAGCAAGAATCTACAGTGTTAGACTTATGAACGTCAAAGACGAAGTTAGGATTCTTAATCAGATTGACCCAGAAACGTAGCGGAAGGGAATTACTCTTCCAGGTGTGCACAACCTCCGGATCAGAGATTGTGTGCTGCAATGCCTGATCGTCGAGGAAGTCGAACATGTACTTTATAGCGAGAGGAAGCGCCGAACCACGGTGCGCTGTGCTAAAAATAGTCTCGAATAAATCATCGACGAACTTTTGCAGAGTGCCCTTGGTAGCAAGAAGACGGGTGAGATATATTTCCGAGACCATTTTATTGCCACGCTCTCCCTCTTTGCGTGCGTCATCATCGTGGTGGCGCACTAAATGCCAGTATTTGAAACCACCACCATGTTCACATTTAAGGGGACTGGCTGGTGGGCTAGCCGAACCATATTTACCGCGATTAAGTGTTTCATAAGTGTGGGACTTGTCGTTCTTTTCCATGTTCGATAAATTGTATACGGAACTTTGTTTGGCAACGAGACTGAGACATGCTCCATCCGGTACGCGATAATGATTAAGAGTATTGAGCTTGCGCCATTCGCCTTCACATTTAGTAGTGCTATCCTCATCGTAGAGGATAAGACGACCGCAGGCGCCCGTGCGCCATTCCAAGTCGAGGTCATCACGACTTGGTCTCTGGGAGTATGGAGTTGCACGGTAAATCGCGTCTAAACATTTTTCTTTTACTTGACTTATCGTATCACAGTCGAGAACTTTAACATGGACGTTTTCAGTAGTAGCCTCTAAACCACTTACGAATAACGTCTGTTGTGATATCGACACACTTACGGTCATGGGTTTGAAATCTATGGACTGCCTGATGAGTTTTTCCTCGCTTAGGGAATATCGTGCCTCGGAAGTAATCGCGTCAACAGGCCCTTTGTCGACTTGACCTTTCATCGACCTAAACAACAGGTACAGTGGTTCGCCAGCGCACTCGCGCAGGAATTTATATAGGAGGAAAGTGAACCAAGCGCTCAACATCTTTTCCGCGACGCTCTCGGTACGTCTCAATAACAACTTGGGGTGATTCTTTCCTTCCATACACTTTTCTATTAACTCCGCTAATAATGTCTTTAATACATCAGTACAATACTCCATCTTACTTTGAAGAGTAACCATAATAAGAGAAGCTACATTAACACGATCGCGCATTGAAAAATATCTATTGCTTTCTAAAGTACGAATAAATAATAGAAGGAATGTTTTGTTCATAATTAACTGCCCAAACATTCTGAGACCTTTGTCTTTTCTAATAAGCTCTGGGCGCTCCCATTGCAGGACGGCATGGTCGTCGATGTTAGGGAACAATATTTTCATAGCATACGTACGGTAATCTAAGAAAGGTATACCGCCTGTCACATCTCCGGTCAAATCCGTCATTTCTGTTTGCAACTCGGCAAACGCCTCTTTACATTCGGCAGCTACTCTTAATTCTAAAATATCCATTTGTTCTTGCATATTCTTTAATACCCTAATATTTTCAGTTGATTTTCTCCTATACATAACTAAAAATCCGAAAAATATCAAAAGGAGTATACCGGCACTGACCCCGATCCCTATTAAAGCTGGTTTGCCAATGGCGGCTTGGAGGCCAGCTTGCGATGAATAAGATAATTTACCGATCTTGTACGTGAGAGCACGTCCAACTTTGACTACTACTTCGGGGGTATCTACGCCGTCAGGAAGTTCATCTCGCGAAGGCGGACGGCAAGTCAATTGGTGCCTTGACAGAGATGTCACGTTACATAAACTATCCCCTATATGAACTTCCACATCAAGCTCAGTACAAGCTCTATCGAGATTTTGACCGTTAATTGTTAAATATTCAGACTTAAAATACTTTACGTCTTCGTCGAATCTCTCATAAACGGGATCGGGGTAAAGTAAGAACGCCTCGCCTCTTTTACTAGTCAGATTCTGAACACTTTGAACATCGTCCATATTAAAACCGTATTCTAATTCCAAAGGTCTATCTGGATCTAGAACAAGACCAGCACTTTCTATTCCCGGAGATTCACAAATAAGGTGCGACTGATAATCAATCCTGTTACAAGGGGCGATATAGGGTCGGTTATCGTGATACACGTATATCTGCGGAAATTGAATTGTATGGAAATTTTGACCGGTTACTTTAATACTTATGCCGCCCGATGGTATACCCTTCGGTTGTTTTCTTTGCGTCGTCAAAGGTGGACCTGACTCCACAGACACAACAATAGGATCCTCCATATATTCAAACTTTTCACGTTCTAGTGTTCGCATACCGTTATCGAAACGCATTCGCAAAGTACCCATTTTAATTTGATATGAATGACTAGTTCTACAGACAGCCTCTTCATGTGATACAGACAGTATAGCGCATGGCAAGTCATCTATAAATGCTTGAATGTTACTCCCTGCGTTGAGATATTCGCCTGTTATACGTAACTTTGTACCTCCAGATTGGGGACCGTATTTCGGTTGAATTGAATTTATTTTAGGGTTTACGAACGCATAGTGATGTTTCGATTCTCCGCGATAGTCCGCAACGCGTACGACCACGGGGCCGTCTCGAGGCACTTCTTCGCCAGGTCCGTCTACAGTGCAGACAATTTGTTTTGTTTTGACATAAAGTTCTATGATAGGTTGACATTTGATACCTGCAATCGTAACGCCGTTATAAATATCAGATATGTTGCGACCTAAGTTGATACCTTCAATTGTTATATTAGTACCGCCGTCCCAGGGACCTAACTGAGGTCTAAATGAGTGTATTTCCGGATTAGGGCAAGTTTGAGTACGGTTCAACCATACGCTAGGAACACCACATTGTTCTTGAACTTCGCATCTATCGGATCCTTGGCACCAACCACATCCAAACTTTTCTGGGAGCGCGAGGCACATACCGCAATTATCTGCCATATCATTACAACGATAAATTAAGATGTGAGTATTATCTGGATTATCTAAAGGCTTAGATCCTCCCCATATGACAGCAAACGAAGCGGTAATATTTGGAGCTCGAGATGTGTAAGTAAATTCAACAGCTTCGCAGTAAATTGTGTCAGCAAGGAGTTGAGCGTTGACATGAGTCACACGCCCCTCTATATTGAATTGACAAACGAACCTTGTCTGAACGATAAATTGACCTATTATATGGACTTTAACTTTTATAGCTTTCTTTACACCGGATGGAACTAAAATCTCGTTTGTGCCGTCAGACGTTGAATTTATAGTGGGACAGAAGCCAGGTCCTGAGCGATAACTGGGACCGATTCTACTAACACCGGTGACTAGAATGTCGTTTCGACAATTTTCAGCTGTGTCATGTGTACAGCGGTGTCCATCGACACACCAATCGCAAGGAAATGAGGAACTTACGCATTGCGTGCACGAGCTGTACGTGTTGCAGTCAAAAAATGTAAAATTAGTAGCGACAAAATCAGGCCCTTGGGTGGTTCGAACCGACAGTTTCGCTGTAAAATGATGCTGGCCGGTGGGTATAGAGGGCAGCGTGTCGGTACGCGGAGTGGTACAATTAACGCCATAAGGTTTTCTAGTAGCATTAGTAGTGAGAGTACGATCTAGAGCTGTAAATGCACACAAGAATTGTCCATTGAGCGTTGGCAAGTTTTCTATAAGTAAATCTAACGTTCTAGCAGTCGTTCGTTGCAACTGATTTGGTGTTACTTGGGTAATAGTTGTACAACGGCCGCTACGGTAAGAGATCCAATACAAAGGATCTTTAGCTGCGTCTTGACAGTCTGACCGCAAGCTACACTTATTTTCTAAAGAACACCATCCACAATACGGGTCTTTGGCTCCGAGACAAGTTAAGCATGATTTATAAACGCTACACTCTTGAACTTTCACTTTAGACACTTTACGTTCAGTCATCACATATAAATGCATAAATTGAGTATCGAAATGCAAATCCTTGTTGACAGCGGAGCCCTCGTCGACGACGATATCTCCGTACTCAAACGCGGAAGTGGCGCTCTCAACGACGATCTTCTTGAGGTGCCCCTGGGCAGTGCCAGCAAACACAACGGTGTAATCGCCAGTAGCGGTCGCTGCAACCGCCGTTAGCCTCTTAGTGAATATTGCAACAGGTACTGCTTCCACTGGTTGTTCACCTCCCAGGGGCGTATTTACATCAAGCCCACAGAAATCTTCACTAATTGATTGTAGCTTTGTTCCAATGCAAGCGTGGGATGGTGATATAAAGTCTAGGCCCCTAGAACCATTACCACTGAAGCAGGTCTTGATGTTTTGCATGAATTTACGCCGGATTGCTTTGAGGGAATAAACACACAGTGCAGACAGATCAGAAGGAGTGTTAGTATTGATTGATTCACTCTGACTAAAAGCAGCGAACAGCACGTCATGTTGAGCAGTTATCCCTAACTCTCCAGCTAGAACGGAACCGGCTTTACCCACAAACGCTGCTTGAACCAGGTTGTATCCATAATTTCCACCACCTTCTCCAGTACATGACATTGGAATTTCAGTATAGGAATAGTAATTCTCGTCATCATGACAGACTCTGACTAGTTTGCTGTAATATGTGTCAGAGCCCACACCCCTCAATTGAGTTGTCAAAAAATAACTGAATCCTTCCGAATTGAAACCGTAGACGTAATTAATTGGATAGCGTTCGCGAGATAGTGAATTGACAAACATTCTGGTACCAGTCGTAACCGCCGTTCTAGCTATCATAAATAGACGGTCATCTTCGAGAGAGCGACTGCTTACTGTAGGAACTTCCGAACGATAAGGCGAGTTGCCTGTAAAGGTGACGCCTACATACATAACTTGTGTCATCGGAGGATTTGGAGGTCCGGGAGCGATGAATGCCACTGTTGAGGCAGTTGCATTATTCGCCACAACTGGCTCACGCACTTCGCGCACATCGTGAGAAATATTATTCAAGTTTCGTACAGAACACAACCCTTGCAGCACCGAACCACACGTGATCAGGCGGCTGGTAGCGTAGTCAATCACTAGAGCTTTATTCACATTGTCCGTAGGTTTCTTCACATAATTAGAAGGGCAGTCGAAGGTACAGAGGGCAGAGTCGTTAACAGGGCCCGTAACGATCGACTGAGCGACTTCCAAGTCGGGGGAGAGTTGGTAGATTCTGTTGACAGCGCCGACGTACACCCGGCCGGTGTTTCGGTCGACGGCCAGATGATTGAAGAATGAATAGGGCGCCGTCACAGGGTCGCTGAAGGAGAGGACCACGTCTTGCGAAGCGCGCGCGGTGGCGCACGCGGCCCCCAGGGCCAGCAGCACGCGCCACATGGCGCGGGCGCATGTGGCCGGCACTCTACCGCGCGCGCCGCCGCCCACTCGTCGCACTGCAGCCGCCCGCCCGCCCCATGCATCTGCAACGCGAGACACCCACTCAGGCGCACTGCCCGCGCCCGTGCGACGGACCAACCGCTGTCGCCGCTTCGTTCCCATCGCACCGCACCGCTCCACCGCCTGCTACTCGCCTAAGTGCTACTATACAATGGTCCAGTGTGGCCTGTTAACGATTCGACGATGAGGACCTATCGCGTATTTTATAGGTATTATTTAACCGCGATGCGCACGAGTACACGTATTGGCTCGGAGAGGTCCAGTGCGGTCGGAGCGAATTCGCGTGCTGTTCTGGTGACACGCAGTCACCCACATCCCATTTAACGATATCGGTACCAACCTATCTTCAACATAATATTCTTTTGCGTCAACATCATATCGTTACAGGTCATTTGTCTTGTCAATAATTCGACTTTCAATTATTTAGACGTATAATTGATTATGCAGTTTACAATAATATTTAACTTCCGTGATAACCGTTGACACGGCATAAAAACAATGTATGGAATCGCCAGAAATAACTAGGCCCGTTGTTGTTTATTAACAATTTGAGTTTAATTAATAAAAGCAGTGACTTATCAATAAATCTGTTAAAAATAGGTTAGTACCAGAATAGCGCGGGCGACCCCGACGCGGTCAGTGCACTGATATATAAGGTACACGCCGACGAAAGCCTCAGCATCATCATAAAGGGGATTAACTAAAATAATAATTTGGCATGCTGTTCGCAACGAGGGAGTGAACGTGGTAGCGTAACGATAAAATAATGAAAAAGAAAAATCGGAGAAACGAAAAACATCGACAATTCGAAACACCGAAAAATGTATACTCACAGAAAGGCCATTGTGATGTACGATACGGGCTTCAAAGGTGTATTTTGTTCTATATCGAGATCATAAGCATGTGAGACGCACTCTCATAGTGCGGTAACAGCGCTGCGAGCTCGTGGACGAGACCTGGAACAACAAATGTCATGTTTAAAGCCCATCAAGGCCCAGACAGAGCCATGATTTACGTTCCTTTTTATCCTAAACAGTTGTGCTAATTGCTGTTTCATAAACTTAGTTTTAAGCAAGTCGATAAGATGATCATTATCCGTCAAATAAAATTACATAATGTGATGGATGAGCTCGTTAAGACGTATCTTGTAGCTTTCACTGACTATTATAGCTACTGTTTCCTAAATTGTTTATACCTAATTATAACAATATCTTATTTTATTTAAATAATCTGTACTCTTCATTTATGGAATACTGAAGGACTGAATTTTCGGACGTAAGGATGTTAAGAATATTACCCGACGAAATACCACCCTATAAATAAACCCAAGATAACTATGTAATGCAAGACTTCGGGTGCTAACAGGCATACAAAACAAATGTTATTACAAAAAGCTCCGTAATCAGAATATCGAAATCCTGATCGATGATGTATCGTCATTTATCAGTCATGAATGACAAACAGGTGTAGGTCCGCAAAAATAATTACTGAAGAAACTAAGTTAAGAGGTGAACTAATCTAATAAAAAAATTAGAATATGGAAACTTGCGACAGAATTACTTTGAACCCAGATCTATACAGGTATATAATTTGGTATGTACTACATCTCGTTCTTACATTCGGTCATCCTTACACGCAAGTAGGTTTTGATGTCGAGGAGCTAAATCAAATGACCTGGTCCACTTATCACTCTTGGTCACCGCACAGGGATTTATACGGCATTAACTGGTAACCTATATATTTTATCATAAGGGTCTGTTGTAACATAAGATCTGATAGAGGCACTTGTAGATTCCGACCTTATTTGAGACCACACATGGACGGCTGATATTATATCATATAAGTCAGTATTAAACATTTGTTTGCTTGCATTTGCATGGAAATTTCTTAAGGCATACTGAACTTTGTCAGGGGGCAGATATTTTGCATATTATCTATTCGTTGATCATTTTCCGCGTATACAACAAATATTTCTGATTTTGTTTTCTGCGTGTGTTCGATTTTTTTAAACTGTGTGTTTTTTTATAGCATATGCTGGTAAACGAGCAGACGGATCACCAGATGGTAAGCAATCGGCGTCGCCTATGGCCACCTGGAACACCAGAAGCGCTACAAGTGCGTTACCGGCCTTTTCTGGTGATTATGAATTTAAGGATTTTTGGAGATTCAGGGTTTGGGGAAAGGGGAGTGGTGGTAATAGGGCTTCCGATAACCTCACTCACACGACGAAACACAAAACGGTTTTCTGTGAGGCCGTGGTATTACTCCGGTCGAGCCGGCCCATTCGTGCCGAAGCATGGCTCTCTCACATTCGTTTAACTCAAGACATGGATTCTTCTTTAAGATCTATGGAAACTGCGGTATTACGACCTTTACCTACAACTTGGAACTAAACGAACTCAGTGCGTTAAAAATATTTCTAAAATAAACTACATTAATTTTGCCGTTAAAAACAATAAACAGATGTTTCTTGGTTCAAGTAGGTAAACAACTAGAAAGTCTGATGACCTGGTGAAGGTCGTGAACAAATCACCTAGAAAATTTTAGCAAATTAAGGACCAATTTCATGTACGCTCCACGCATCCAATAAATGATTAGGAGAAAAATTATCATCTATCCAGATGTTAACCATTTTATAAGGTACGTATAAAATTAAATTTATTTGGAGTTGACAATTTAATTTTATAATTGAAATTAACGTAATAATTACGACAAATTGAAATCTGGATGACATTGAGGTAGTATAAGATAATAATGGGCCTAATCAGTTATCAAAACACTATCAGTAGGTAGATGTTTCTATCTTTTTTGTTTTTGAGCAGAAGAGTGCCGATACTTACTTTATTAGTGTAGTTATTTAAGGGCATCGCATTTACCAGCATCCTGGTGATTTAAAGAACCAGGATTTATTATATTTAATCGACTGTCGGCAAGTCGGAATATTGAAATACGCGAAATGACATTAAAATACCTACCAAGTCTGCGCAAATGATGATAAGTTCAACTTCGATGCCACAGTTTAGGGATGAAATCAAATGACTTCAGACAGAGTACCAAAAAAAAATCTTTAAGAAAGTTAAGACTAGGAATCGACGTAAAAGGGTCGCAAAAGTTTGGAAAAAAACAAACCTTTTTGGATATCGTCAAGTAGGGGCGAAAAAATAACAGGGTTCGTTTACCTGCCTGCTATTTGTTACAACAAAAAAAACTAGAAACTTTGTCGATCTACATGAGTATGTAACGTTTGCAAGATTTTTGTATTCTAAATTGAAGTGAAATCGCTTATTGATAAAATGCTAAATAAGACGTGTGGACTAAATAAGACTTTAAAAATAAATCGTAAGAAATAATTTTAAAATGTAATCGACTACGATTTGATGTAGGTACAGATAACAGAATCGTATGTTGCGAACACGGAGCAAGAAATGACGACATGCTTAAAAACTTTAATATTTACTAATAAGTATTGTCTTTTGAGTACCTGTATCAAACAAAAACAGGCATATAGTACGTAATCTTACATCATCAGTTAACCTTAGATAGGTATGTACCAGATTGTTAGGTATTTCCACGTATAGTATTTACCAAGATATTTGAAACTTAAAAACTAAGTAGAAGACTTGATTTAAAATAACAGATAGGTACTTCACCGAAATATTTCATGGCGACATATCGGAATGCCAATAATAGTTCATTGTGTGGTATTGCCCTTGACTATAGGCATTCGCCGATATACCCCATAGACAAAATTAGCTAAAATCTTAAAAACATCTCTACCTATATCCGTTAAAATTCTGTAATGGTGAGTCATAAAAATTCATTCATAGTCTGAGTTGCAAAGTTCAAACACATTAATTTATCACTATCTGGTAAGCACTGTTTATTGTTAAAACATTCGAATGTAAATACTGGACGGAAACGAGCCTATATTTATATTATTTACCTAGTGGGAATGCTACAAAGTTCGGGGATAAAAAATCATCACTATACTGTGCTTGAACGTGCGCCAGTTTCAAAAACTAAACGCCTTATCGAATAGACAACACTACGAACGAGTACGGTGCACGACCGAGGACCGCGACCGACCGGTATACCAGGCCTACCGTGCCGCAACATTTTGATTACATTCCCTGTCTCCACCCACTCGGTGTAATCTACCACCTACGTTTACAGAATGTCACAAATAACAAACTAATTATTAAACAGTCCATGTTAAGTTGCTGACTTATATTCACGCCAATATCTACCAACGAAATCCCTTCTGTGAAAGAAAAGAAAGTCAGCCATTACCGCGCACGCGAGTCGATAAACGGAAGCCATTCCAATAAACGCCACGCGTTCTGTCTCCAAGAATGATCCGCTGTATTAAACTTTATAAAACTTACCGTATTAAAGATTATCTCTTTGCTGGTTAAACAACAATCCTTTAGAATCCAGGATAAGGGAACTGCCGTGAGCACTATTGCACCACACACAATATTCTTTGTATATTTTTTTCACTTAAACGTAAGGAACACTTAACACCACAAACGACGGTTTAAATCACAACATTATACTTATAAAAATATCTTTATCGGATATCAAAGCCCGTTAGAATGAGTAAAATAGCACGTTTGCTCAGGGAGTCCACGACAAGAGCATCAGTCTTCGTACATCGCCGTGGAATGACTTGGTTTCGCTTTTCGAACGAGTCTAGGCGTGACTAACCCGAGAAAACCCGAACATGGCCGAGTGTCAACTTTCGACTATTAACGCTAGGGGCGCTTTAGTCGCTATGGATGCGTTCTAAATTCAGTAGTTTCTATAAAACAAAAAATGTGCGCAGTATAAAATAATATGAAAATGTAATATTTTATTGGTTTTTATTACAATAGTCGATCACATAAAATAAATAAAGCTAATATACTTTCAGAAATAAGAAAAAAGCATATGAATTTATTTGGAAAAGGCGAACCACCAAAGTAGGTAAACTTATAGTAGTATTGAATAGTATAATATTAGTAATATACCTAGAGCTCATTTAGTTCTGAAGTTGTGCTATTTCACTGCGAACTTTAGTTTAACTTTTGTAATGTCTTTTCTTTCTTTTCCTCAAAATCAGTATCATAAGTCCAGGGTCCATTAGTGATGGGTTTGACACTGTTCAGCAAATGCTGCATCAGCTAGGTATGTCAGTTCTTGGAAGGTTATAAAATATATGAATATTATTAAATTGTTAATTCTGTAAAATCTGACAGTGAAGGAAAATGCGGATTGTGCACCAATTACTTATTATATTATGGCCCTGGCACAGTGGTTCTTAGTACTTACAATATATCAAAATGTTTAAATTAAAACTTTTGTGAGTCATACTAAATTAATAATTATGTTTTCAGCTTACTCTTACTATTTGACGAAGAACTCGACTAGTTTCAAGCCATGCTAGAGGTTCATGTTCATGAGCAGCATTCTTCGGTCTTCGACCCGCGACGCGGCGACTGTTGTGCTACTACTGGCTGCTCGGCGTCGGCTATCATCGCGGAATGCTGCTCATGAATATGAGCCTCTAGCATGGCTTGAAACTAGTTGAGTTCCTCGTCAAACAGTTAAGTGAGTAAGTCAAATTAACGCTAAAATGTGTTGATTAATAAATAATAGGCATATTTATGTTCGTATTTGATAAAAAAATATTATATTATCATACCAGACAGTATTAGAATTTGATATCCAAAAACGGAGAGGGTGCTAGACAGAATAATATTTACATTTTCGTATTAGAACATAATTTCGTAGTCGATAACCTTGATCGGTAACTTATTTAGTAACCAAAAAATATACGTATTCTTTTAAGATTTTAGTACGATTTTATATAGGATATGTTTTAGTTTATTAGGATTTGATTAGAATTTATGATAGTATGGGATAATTTTAGCAGAGTGAAAGTGAAAAGCTTTGTCTCGTCATCACTGAATCGAAGCCATCATAGACAGTTAAATGATGAATGTATGTTTTTATTTTTGGTTTCTCATTATGTCATGTGGTTTCGTCAACTGTCAATGTCACTTTTCAAATTCTCAAGATTGTAAAATAATTTGGGCCTTTTCAAATAAGTCTTATTGCCGCCGTCATTAACAGGAATTGAAGGTACACTGAAAAGAATTTTGTTACATTTTCATCACTATACTTTTTTTCTGGCTGTCGAACTATGTAGTCATAAACTAAAACAGACTATATATTTTTAATTTTTTAGTCTGTTGTAGTCGGCGACGTTTCAATTTTTTTGGAACGATTTGAAATAGCCCTTTTATAACATTTTTGCAGAAAAGAATTAAGATTCTTTTGAAGAAATCATGGCCAACTGTTTTAAATTATTAACTACAACGCTATTCAAGACATCAAGAAACCTAAGACACATAAGATGTGTCCGACCTATAATACAGAAGTCGAGTTTTTCGACTTGCAGTGTCTTAGCGGTAAGTTGCGTAACCCCGTAAACCATATCTTTGAAAAGACATGCTGGCGGTAAATGTTTTCGTTAAAACCTGGAAGAATAATTGTTCCCATGGAACAGTGAAGAAAAATGATCCCAGGGAAGAGAGATATATTGTACTTCATTGCATTGACAGGTTAGTTCGAATCTCATAATAGTTATTATGTTGACCAAATTAAAAATAGTTTTTATCACATCAATGTGGACATATGATATCAATTTTTTTTATTACATGGTGGTCTCCAAAGGCAGTGCCATTGGCAATATTAGGTGTGATTCTGTAGTACTGGCTTCTAAACTGCAATGCCAATATTACTGGGTATTTTATCCATCATTAAATTTAGTGTGTTGAAATTACACCTATTCAAATTTTTAACTAAGCTAGGTATTTTATAAATTACAAATTTCTGTTGGGTTCCTTTTAACTTATTGTATGATGTTTATTTTTCATTAATAAAATTAATTATTTTGTTTTTGATATATACATATAATACATTGGATTATGGCTGAGGAATCAAATCCATTACATTTCACTTATTAGAATAATGGGTTTATAAATAGATAAACATTATAGTTACGTAATGAAGTCAATTACTATTTATACAATTTAGAAATAATAAATTCATTCCTACAATAATCCTATTCAACTAATATGGGAAATCAAGAGGTTGTAGGTTAAGCTGACTCACTGAGGCCCGTTGGATATTATAATCTAAGTAAAATGGGACATCAGCTGATAAATTATCCAGTATGGAAGTGCACTGTGTTACTTGTCCTTAAAGAAGGCCTTGTTATTTGTCCTTATGAACAATATCTGGTTGATGGAAAATTAACAATGATAATGCTCTTATCATTAATCTATTTTTTTTAAGTAATGCATCCTAAGTTGTAGATAAGACTGTAGATATTCTCTTCTAAGAAAATCTACCTTGCATCCTAGGGCTGTAGACGACTTTGCTCATTACCCGGATCTGTGACTCAAAGTAGGAATTGAAATGAGATTGGATGGCTTTTAGCGAGTTTCACTACTTCACCTCACCCAAGGCGAGAGAATAAGTAATATAATGTAATATTTTGTAATTGAAAATGTTGTTCGATTGAACAATCAAATCAGAAACTTTGTGTTATGTTTTTTGACCACATTTGCTTCTAGTATAGTAGACTGCCTTGTTGGCCGAGTGGTCGCAAGTATGCAAGGGGTTTTTCAAAAATTCTCAGTAGTAGCATAGAGTCTGGAATTGTGCCCGGTATTTGGAACAGGCTCACCCCCTATTACATGGGACTCATAACATAAATAGTGAAAGGTAGGTGTTACATTTTACAGAGGCAAAATGTGCATCTCTGACTATCCCTTCGGGTATAAAAGTTGTGATGTGATGTTATGTTGCTTCTATTGTATCTCTTATTATTACTCATATTAGAAAAGTTGTATACAAATATGAACTTTGTTTATCATTAACAATGGCAGGTAAAATCCATATTTTAAGTTTTATTTTCCTATTTAACACTGTCACCTGTCAGTTTGACAATTTTTAGTGAACACTTTCAATGAAAAAATTTTCGTGTTGTTAAATTTTACGTTGTTTGTAGCTATATTAGAATATTTCAGTGGTAATAATAGCAGGTTAATAAACAAAAAAATGTCGTGTCCAATTTGCACAGCTTCCAAAGGCAGTGTCCGAGGCATGGTAAGTTTAGTGAGATGTGTTAGGATTACACAGATTTTAGTTACTGTGCATGGAGTGAAACTGGCATCAGATATGATGAGAGGATAGAGCGGAGTACCTGGTGTTAGAGATATTGATATTACGTTTTTACCGTTTTGGCATCTGTGTTTTGAAATAACTGTTGCTATACATTTAACTATTTTGCATTTACCTATTTGTTCTCCAGTGACTAAATAATAATTACAGTAAAAATATAATTCTTAAGCGACCTCAAACCAATAATAATATGTAAAAATAAAGAGACGCGCGGTAGTGCTGGTTACGTCATGAAGTCGCGAGGGACTAGATGTGATGTGTCTGTTGATAAAAAGCGATAGGTACCCAAAAAAAGTGACGTTTTTATTATATTATTGTATTCCGATTAACTTTGCCAAATGCTTATAGTAATCAATGTTTATATTTATAATTTTACAGCGAAAGGAGCGCGACACTATGGGAGAATTGGAAGTACCTGATGACAGGCTATATGGATCCCAAACTATGAGGTCAATCATGAACTTCCCTATAGGAGGCATTGAGGAACGCATGCCGGTTTGTTTTTCTATTACTTATGAGATCAAATCAAGATTAAATCTTTCAGTAGAACCTAATGTTTGAGAAACTATTGAAGTTTCATATCTGTATTATGTATATTTTTTTCCTACTATAAATATCTAAACTATCTTCTATACCTATTTATATTTTCTGATAAGTATTAAGTATTTCATTGTCGTCCACATTTCATTAGATCACAAACTCCTTCACACACACTATCCCATATTCTTGTGTGTGTGTGTTGTGGCTTTAAATGATTTTTCTTTTCTTCTATTCATCTTACCTTTATAAGTTCTATGAGTGATAAAAAAGGGTGGTATTTAATACTTTAACTGTAAATTCCCTTTTTTCAATCAAAATATTCTAAATTATCACCAAAAATACTGAATTGCACACTTAATTTGCTTATCAAATAAATCAGTTATACTATACTGTTAGATCTTTAAAGCTTAACTGTTTTACTGAATGACTATCTTTTAACTAAAAGTAAATCTATTATTTCTTCAAGTGCAACAAAATATATAAAAAAATTTTCATCACCTATTAAAATTTTAAGAACATGGGTTATCCTTAAGTTAAGAATCTTATACCCTAACCTAACCCTAATATTGAAAAATTAATGTGCAAATCAGTATCAATTTCTAAATAGAGGTGTAGTAAAAAATTTTCCATAAAAAATATAAGAATCTCTTACATATTTACACAAACAAGGTAAACTTATTGAACATGTGGCATTGATATGGTTTGTATTATATTTGCAGATGGCTGTCATCGTTGCAATGGGTATTTTGAAAAAAGCTGCAGCTAAAGTTAATATGGAGTTTGGTTTAGATAAAAAAATCGGTAAGTTGGTTGTATGCTGATCCTTTTCTAACTAACATGTAAATTAAAGATGTATATAAGTAATAGACTATGTATATAAGGATGAGACTGCCTCGTTGGTCGAGTGGTCGTAAGTGCGACTGCCGCGGCAAGGGATCTCGGGTTCGATTCCCGGGTCGGGCAAAGTATTACTGGGTTTTTTTTAAATATTCTCAGTAGTAGCACGGAGTCTGAAATTGTGCCCGGTGTAATAGCAATAGGCTCACCCCCTATTATATGGGACTCATAACATATATAGTAGGTGTTACATTGTACAGTGGTATAATGTGCACCTCTGCCTAACCCTTCAGGGATAAAAAGGCGTGATGTTATGTTATATAAGTAATAGAAGCATCACCCCGCGAAACAACTCATTGAAGTAGCGACTCTACTAAAATACTAAGCAACAAAGTGCAATTTAGCTTGCTCTCGCGCTCAATACCAGTAGAGTTATTCACCTAAACATTGCCGTCCTCTTCTAAAGCGTAACTCTGTCGCTGTCGGGCACGGTGTGACGTAATAGCTATGGTAATAGGGTTCTCCCCAACGTCATAGCTATTACGTCACACCACCTTACGTCAGTCGTGTCAGACAACTACTATCTTACCCATTATAGTATTAGTCGAAAACAGTACAATTGTAAGGTTACATGTCGAAATAAATAAAAAAAAAAATCAAAAGGAAATGGATAAAAAAGTGAGAAATGGTTAGGTAACTATATAATTATTTTGTCATTTATATGATTATTAAGATTTTTTTGTCAAAATACTCTAATAAACAAATTTCGTTGCAGCTGAAGCCATCATTACAGCTTGCGATGATGTGATCAACGGTAAACTGTACAAAGAGGGTCACTTCCCTCTTATCATTTGGCAGACTGGGTCAGGCACACAGACTAACATGAACACCAATGAGGTATCTAATCTATATCTAATATATATATCATTTAGTTTAAAAAAACCTTATTTCTACATTAAATAAACCTCACGAACTTACCTTTTGGTGAGCATTTCATTCCAGTATTCCAGTACTTGTTGCTATAACCAACCATACCATGGCTCTCAAAAATTTGAAAAATCTTTCCAGTGTCGAGTGGTCGCAAGTGCAATTGCCGAGCAAGGGGTCTCGGGTTCGATTCCCGGATCGGTCAACATACTACTGGGTTTTCTAAAAAATCCCAGTAGTATCCTGGAATCTGAAAATGTGCCCGATATATGACAATAGGCTCACTGCCTTTTACATGGGACTCATGACATACCGTCTTATTACAAAACCCGATCTATTTTTAGTACCAGGATTAATACTAGGTTTAAACCATGACTAAATAAAACGTTATTATAAAACAAAGTTTATCACTAGTTCCGGAACTATCTATGGTACTAAAGTTAAACCGCCGAGACCCCTAGTTTAACTTCGGTACTCAAGTTATTTGAGCTATCAGAAACATTTACGTGTATCTTCTATATTATTATAATTGTAAAATGGATATTGAACCGATTGATGTTATGGATTTAAAAGATTTGGAAGATTTGGACATGTTAGAGACGTCTCGGCGATCGTACAGACATCGCCATCGTGTAAATAAATATCCCTTTGACTTGAGTGACGAAGACTTTCGATATAAGTACAGTTGTTGTTCCATTTCCAGTCAGTCACAATAAACAATAATGTTTATATAATAAAAAAATCTCAATATTTGTTTCGCGATTCGTGCTCTGCCGCCTTCTTTTCTTATAAGTCGCTCCATTTCACGCTAGAGGTGTTAAAAAATATGACAACTTGGTTATAAAAAGCTCGTCAAAATACAAGCTGTGCTTGTTCACTATATTGTAACACAAACAAAAAACAATTTATGATATAATTTTGTGTTGATACATAATTATTTAAGCATTTCAGGCGTTATTGTAATAACAATATTTAGACGAACGGAACGTTGCTTCAAGTGGATCCTGAGTGAACGAATGAAAGAATGCTATTTATGTTTTTTATCTGTGGGACTATGGACTTTCTTTGGTACTAGCTGATCCCCGAATAGTCTTAGTTTTATAATTGGAACAAATTTTGGTCCTGGTACTTTAATACCGTAACAAACCTAGATCTTATAGTCCGGGTTTAAACCAGTACTAAGTCGAACTTTTGTAATAAGACGGATATAGTTTAAAGTGGATGTTACATTGTACAGACAGTGACAATTAGTGCCGTAATGTGCACCTCTGCCTACCCCTTCCGGGATAAAAGGCGCGATGTTATGTTATTCAACTGTATCAATTTTCATCAAAATCCGTCCAGTACTTACATTTTTTTTCAAGAGTAACAAACACTGTCTAATGTCCATACATTCTCACAATTGGGTAGTTTCCAGGGTATCTTCAATCAAATCAGGGTAAAATTAAAAATCTAATTAGTCCGTCAGTTAGATAATGAAAAAATATTCGACACGTATTTTTTTATTTTCTCGTATTAAGTTGCAATATTTAGATAAAATGGCGCTACGTTTAGGAGGAGGTCGTTACGTCATAACGTGCTACAAAATGTGACACGCTGTGACGTCACACGATATTTCAAATAAATATATCATCGAAAGTATTTAATTTTGTGAGAAAAGAAAAATACGTGTCTAAAGTTTTAAATTAATGTACTAGACGGACATTAAAATAAAATTTTGGAAACTACCCTATTTCTTGCATTTATAATATTAATAAGACAATAAATATATCGCCTATACATATTTTTTAATTTACTAGGTCATCGCTAACCGAGCTATTCAGATGTTGGGCGGTACGTTGGGCAGTAAGAAGCCCGTGCACCCCAACGACCACGTGAACAAGTCACAGAGCTCCAACGACACGTACCCCACCGCCATGCACATCGCCGTCGCCATGGAGCTCAGGGACAGGCTCATGCCCGGCCTCGTGGCTTTCAGAGACACCATGGAAGCCAAAGCAAAGGAGTTTGACAAAATCATTAAGATTGGAAGGTGTGTATATGTAGCGTATGTGATATAAGTTGCAAGCCTTTCGGTTTTTTATCAGATACATAATTCAAATTAATTTTTTTTATTGCATTCATTCGTTTCAAGTTTCAACATGATACCCAGAAATGATATTGACTTTTAAAGTTATAATATAAACATGACATCACGTCTTTTAGCCCCGAAGGGCAGGCAGAGGTGCACATTGCGGCATTTAATGCCACTGTGTAATGTAACACCCACTTTTCACTATTTATGTTATGAGTCCCATGTAACACAATTCCAGACTCCGTGCTATCACTAAGATTGTTTTTTTTAAATCCAATAATACTTTGCCCGACCCGGGCATTGAACCCGAGACCCCTTGTCCGGTAGTCGCACTTGCGACCACTCGGCCAATGAGGCAGTTATAATGTAAACATTTTTTTTCATTTCATTTGTTACAACATGTATTTGCAAAAATGTCATAATTATATGTATAGGTATTATTATATATGTGTTAATTGTATGTTGTTACATTATTTCTATTGTCTATCGGAATTACACAATTTGATGTTCCCCCATGTCATCTATCATCGCACCACCATGCAAAGCACCATCGTGTTACCGTGAACATCACACGTAAACATTTATTTATTTATTATAACACCTTAAATAAATAAATAACAGTATGACATCTTACAGTTTATTCCAATGGAATATCATATTTCCTGACATATTTAAGTCCAACATGTAACTTTAATTTAATCTTCCTTACTATCCTTACTAATATTATAAATCTGAAAGTGAGTTTGTTTGTTCCACCTTCACGCCGTAACTGCTCAACCGATTGCTTTGATTTTTTGCAGACGTAAAGTTAGAAGTCCGGATTAAATAATAGGGTACTTTTTAACCCGGAAAAAATTGATATTCCCGAGGAAAACCAAAAGTATTGGTATAGATGGCGCTGTGTGTATATGTCACATAGGCTAATTTTTATTCTTTTGTGACGCGAGCGAAGCCGCGGGTAAAATCTAGTTAATAAAATAAAACATGAAACATAATATATAATATTTAGATTTTAGATATGTTCATTGTAAGTCACGGGGTGACATAAAGATTAGGAAAAAACTATAGATTAGTTAATAATATATAGGTATAGTTATAGCTCTAAGTAATAGTTATAAATTTCGGCTGACACTAAATTTGTAACGTTTTAAATTGCTGCGCCCTAACAGAGTGCTTAGTCTTGAAACCAATCTCAATATCAATGCAATTTCAAAGCAATCATTAGTTCATTCAATATCCACGCAATACGGATGCAATGTGCGCTAGTGTTGCTACTCGAGAGTACGTGATTTCACAATATCAATGTCGATCGATCGGAATTGTATTCAAGAGTAAGCCCTCAGGGCAATGTACTTAATTAGTTGTATGTAATACTTCATATTATATGTACATTGTGCAATATGAATAAATGAATAAATATATGTTGTGCAGGACCCACTTGATGGACGCGGTCCCGCTGACGCTGGGCCAGGAGTTCAGCGGGTACGCGACGCAGCTGACGTTCGCCATCGAGCGCGTGTGCGCCACGCTGCCGCGCCTGCACTACCTGGCGCTGGGCGGCACGGCCGTCGGCACCGGACTCAACACGCGCATCGGGTTCGCGGAGAAGTGCGCCGCGGAGATCGCCGCCCTCACTGGTGAGGACTACTCAAAATCCGTTTATGACATATTTAACTGCCTCGCTGGCCCAGTGGTCGCAAGTGCGACTGCCGGGCAAGGGGTCTCGGGTTCGATTCCCAGGTCGGGCAAAGTATTACTGAGTTTTTAAAAAAATCTCAGTAGTAGCACGTAGTCTGGAAATGTGCCCGGTATTTGGCAATAGGCTCACCACCTATTACATGGGAATCATTACATGAATAGTGAAAAGTGGGTGTTACTACTGTGTGCACTTCTGCCTACCCCTTCGGGGATAAACGGCGTGATGTTATGTTTATGTAAAATTAACATCATAATAACCAACAACCCGTGAGAGTTTACTGTATGGGCATCACCAAAATAGTGTTTTGTCATAATCTTCACGCTCGGCATGAAGCGGGTAAGTGATCGCAGTTTAAAAGATCGGGTTGGGTTTGTCAGAGGACACTACTGCCGATCATATAAGAGTGGATGAACCATGTTTCAACACGAATGAGCCAGGTAGACCGGAGTGGTACCACAGAAAACCGAAACAGAAAACCGTCGTGAAATAACGCTTGCGTTGTGTTTCGTCGTGTGAGTGTGGTTCCTGAAGGCCCAATTACCCCCCCCCCCCAATCTCCCCAATCCCTAATCCCAAAAGTTGTCAAATTCCTAATTCCAAAAAGGTCGATAAAGCATTTGTAACATCCCTGGTGTTCCGTTAGCTCGTTTACCGGCTTATCCCATAAAAAATGTAATCCCTTAGTCGACACTTATGACATCCACGGAAAGAGTATGAGTGATGAATGTATGCTACTCTATCGTCACTGCGAGTTTGAAGCATTTTTTTAATATATATTCATATTATTACAGGCATTCCATTCGAAACTGCGCCAAACAAGTTTGAGGCGTTGGCTAGCCACGATGCGATGGTAGAAGTGTCGGGTGCTCTCAACGTGGCTGCGTGCTCCATCATGAAGATTGTCAACGACATCCGCTTCCTGGCGTCCGGACCTAGATGCGGGCTGGGTGAACTGATGCTGCCAGAGAACGAGCCGGGATCATCCATCATGCCTGGTAAACATAAAACATGTTACATTCCCCACTCTCAAAAGCAAGAAAAATAACTATGTATAATAGAATAGCAGATTAATCAAATTCTAAATTTCTATTTAATACGAGATTAATACGGCTTTAATACGGCTGCCTCGTTGGCCAAGTGGTCGCAAGTGCGACTGCCGGGCAAAGGGTCTCGGGTTCGATTCCCGGGTCGAGCAAAGTATTACTGGGTTTAAAAAAATTCGCAGTAGTAGCACGGAGTCTGGAATTGTGCCCGGTATATGGCAATAGGCTCACCCCCTATTACATGGAACATCATAACATAAATAGTGAAAAGTGGGTGTTACATTGTACAGTGGCATAATCCCTTCGAGGATAAAAGGCGTAGGTAATGTTATGTTATGTTAATTAATTGAGTTTCTCAATATTCCAGGTAAGGTGAACCCGACTCAGTGCGAGGCGCTGACGATGATAGCGGCGCAAGTAATGGGCAACCACGTCGCCTGCACCGTCGGAGGCAGCAACGGACACTTCGAGCTCAACGTCTTCAAAACTATGATGGTCGCTAACGTGCTCAGGTCAATCACACTACTTGGTAAGTCCATTCCAGATGTGAAATCGAAGTTACTTGCTCTAAACTTAAGTGATTGTTGTTACTCGTATACACAAAACCTCCTGGCAAGATGTTACAATTGCAATGATGATATACTTTTTCAGGCGACGGATGCTTGGCATTTGACAAGAACTGTGCGAAGGGCATCACAGCTAACAAAGAAAAGATCGGCAAGATCATGCAGGAGTCACTCATGTTGGTGACAGCGCTCAACCCACACATTGGTTATGATAAGGTACACTTTCCTCCCATTGCATTGATACCTTGGCCTCACTGAACACTAATGTGAAGCCTAACGGGTTACCGGGGCTCCGGCAAGGAGAGCAGGAGTTGGGACGGGGTTGTTTTTAGTCAGTAAGACTGAGACTCCGGATCTCGCCTAACCCAAGGCGGAAGAAGTCACGAAAGTAGATGATTTTCCACCTTCAAATAAAAAAGTGTGGAAGTATGCTTGCGTTGTGAGTCCACGTGCGAGTCACTTAACGGCATTGTTATTCCTCTATTGTAACCATGGGCGGCGCCGATTGCTTGCCATCGGTGGTCGATCTGATAAGTTGCCGCCCTTATTTAGAAAAAACATAATAGTTTTACTTTTACTGCGATACTCAGAGACATTGAATGATTGCTTAAACTATTCCTTAGTAATGATTTTGTTTCGAAAACAATTGCTAAGGACTGGGTTAAGTAGCCATTAAATGACTCTGTGTATGTTGGTAACATACTTATAATTATAAGCCAATATTTTTTTTAAAAGCACAATTTAACTGGTTCTATTTCTTGTTCTAGGCTGCACAAATCGCCAAGACTGCCCATAAAGAAGGAGGTACCCTAAAAGGCACAGCTATCAAACTAGGAATCCTCACCGAGGAACAGTTCAACCAATGGGTCAAGCCAGAAAACATGTTGGGACCCAAGTAAAGAATCTGATGTGCTGTCAACACAGAATGGAACAACATTTTTTGTGTTGCAATTAGGATTAGTGATGAAAGAGTATGAGTTTAGCTACGAAATATTCGATCTCCTTCGGTACACTCTATGTTATTAGTTAGGAGTTACTTAATGGCACCTTTTCTTCAAACGAGAGTTTAGCAAATATGATAATTAGGACCAGTTTATAAGGTTATTTGCAGTACTTACATCGCCTAGTACAAGGTTTGTTAAGTGAGACAACTGCACACTCTGCCCTTTTGGTTTTTATGCGACAGTTTTGATAAATATATTTATTTCTTATTGTTACTTATTTACACACATACAACACAAAGAACAACACATAAATTGTTACACTAATGCTTCATAAACAGAATCCATTTGATGATTTCGCAACTGATGGCAATCACAATGTTAATATTATGTTAAGAAATGATATCCCCATTTTTGTCGGGTGACACGTTACTTATCTGCGGATATAGGGATTTTTTTATTAATTTATCGCTGTAGGTTACGTAATTAATTTTATTTATAGACCAGCTGTTGCCCGCGACATTGCTGCGTAAAATAATGGCAGACTTCTGGCAGAATTTGGGGTTTTGAATTAGTCTATTCCAAAGTATATTCTATGCTTCTAACAAATCCCTTCAGTACCAGATTCTGTCATTCATTACAATTCTCTTACAATAAATATTTATAATGAAATAAAGGACTGCCTGTTGGCCGAATGGTCGCAAGTGCGACTGCCGGGCAAGGGGTCTCGGGTTCGGTGCCCGGGTCGGGCAATGTATTACTGGGTTTTTATAAATTCTCAGTAGTAGCACGGAGTCTGGAATGGTGCCCGGTATATGGCAATAGGCTCACCCCCTATTACATGGGACTCATAACATAAATAGTGAAAAATGGGTGTTAAATTGTACATCGGTATAATGTACACCTCTGCCTACTCCTTCGGGGATAAAAGGCGTGATGTTATGTTATGAAATAAATGTATTATCGTGGTTTCGAAATACAAATAATTTCACGGGATATTACCCGTACAGAGCCCGTTCCCGTAGAGTTTCGGTGATAAAAAGTATTTTATATCATTTCCCGAATTGCAAACCATTACCGAATTTCAATCTTATAGATGCTCTTGTTTGAAAGATATAGGTACTCTTGTTTGAAATATAAAGAGTTTAAAACATAGTTCCCGTTCTCGTGGGATTTTTGGAATGAATTAATGAATGAATTTCAACCACATAGGCTCAGTGGTTTAAAATATAGACCTGGGATTTTAAGGTATAGTTCCTGTTCCCGTGAGATTTCCGGGATAAAAACTATCATAAGTCCTTTCTCCGGTCTAAAACTATTGAATTTCACTAAAATATTCAGTGTTTTAAGAGTTAGAGAGTCCCAGGCCTTAACACATATTTCCCGTTCTTCGGGAATTTCCGGGATACTAGTTACTCTGGTACTAATAATGTGGCCTGATTTGTATCGACGCGACGTTACTATTACACATTTTTGGATAAAATAGTCACTTATGGCATAACAGCTGTCGTAGTTAAACATTTCGCGGACTTTTACTTTGATATTACTGCCCTCTATAAGCCTAGCTAAGTACATCACTTTGCTCTATCGTGTATAATTTTCACAGCGTGAGTAATTTGGGTTTCTTGGCAGTTTTTCTCACATATTCACACGGTTCTCTTTTTATTTAGGTATATCAGGAATAATGTAGGATTGCAATTCAAACAAACAAACAAAAATAATAATCTTTCCTCTTTGTAATACTAGTGTAGATGTAGATAACGTAGTGCCAAATACACAATAAAATTCTGGTTACAACATCAATACACGACCCCGTAATTTGCATTTATGTAATATGAGTAGGTAAGCAAAGTGTATCAATCGTCTTGTTATAAATTGTCTTTACCGTGTTTGTTCATGTGATTGTTGTATACACTTTTACCACTGACAGTGATTACAGTTACCGTTAGTATTTGTGCAGACATATGAATCTAAAATGTTTAACACAATTTTTATTTATGTGTGTGACAATTTCTAATAAATGAAGTTTCAATTAATTTTTTGCCTTTATTTCCACAAACTGGGTCCTCTGGTGTTGCGGATGTCCATGGGCGGTGCTGATCGCACCATCAGGTGATCCGTCTGCTCGTTTACCTCCTATTCCATAAAAAATCCCTAAAATTGTACCTATTAATGTTATGAAAATATCCTACAACATTCGATTTAATGTTCAAAATGGTAAGTTAATAGCAGGGTTGGAGCGGTTTCGTTACAGTGCCTTCATAATGTTTTCTTTTTAGTATTACTATACTCTATGCATAATGTGTCGTGACCTGAAGTCTATATCATTGGGACACCTAGTGTCTGCAAAGAGACTCCAGAACCAACACGTTTTGAAAAGGTCACCGACATCCAGTCAAATTGATTGTACAACTAAGTTAAAAAGTTGGCCAAAGTATTAGCTTTCGAAAGTTATGACAAGGGTAAGATTATATACCTAGATAGACCTGATAGCGATAGGGTATAGGGTATCTACTCAGCAATTATGCGATGTCTGCCTATCCTGCGGGGAATAAGGGCCTGATGTTAGGTAATGTTAAAGCGTGTGTATAGTGTCCCCGAGGTTCGTCATTAGTAATTCCAATTTTGTCGATATCTTATTTCTAAATTCCATTCTTTAATGAAAGTACTCAAATATTTTGCATCTCATTGCCTGCAACAGAAATAGTTTACAAGCTAAGCTAAGCTAGCTATAGATGGCCATAGGTACCAAAGAATCGACCTTCCTGGCCACGAGCACCGTGGCCTTCAAATAAAGTTAAACCAGATCTGATAAACTAGCCACTCTGACCTCATTTTTATATAGTCAAGGTAACCACACAATATACCTACCTACTGGGCAAAGTACCTACTTGTTTGCTCCATGATAACAGACCGCATAAATTGATTTGCGAACAACAAAAGCGATAAAATAAAACTACGAGTTCATGCTTCAACTACATTATAATTAGCAACAATGATAGTTTTATACACAGATACAATAATACTAATTACATCTTTGGTATTTTATCACCCAATTTCGAGAGATCTGATTGGAATGTACTTGATTTTAAATAAAATTACAATAATGGTCATCTATTTTCTCCCATAATAAATATTGTTATTTCTCCAAATTTCTTCCTTGCCTGGCTCATTTCATATTTGTAAATTTTAGAGAGCAATAGTAGTAGGTCATTTATTACAATTAAAATAATCAGAAATAGGACTAGTTACTAATTAGACTAGATCGACTACAGTAAATGCATACAGCATGGTTTGATATTGTGGAAGGCATCATAAGCCTGCTTTCAAACATGTGACAAGATGCTACAATTATTATCTACAACATATACAACTCGGTGACAACTCTTCTAATAAGGTGGGAGAACACATTGTGATTAGTACTTTTGTAACAATACAATAATCAGACTAGATTTGGTACATTTTCTGTAGCCTCTTGTCACATTTAGAAACAGTATTCAAATATACATTATGTATAAAATTGTACTCTTATAAAATTACTTAATTACATAAATACATCTTTGATATTCTGAAACTGCTTAACAGCAAGGTCAACAGGCAGATCAAAATTGTATGGAGTTAGGCGATCTAAACTTTGTAGGGCATCTTGGAATCCAGTGTTTACCACATAGCTGGTTGATGAATAGTAGGCATCAATCAACGATCTGCTTTTCAAAATAATATTCAGCCAGATAACAAGCTTATGAGCATTCAATGCTGCACAAACAAAAGCTTTGAAATGAGCGTCATAACTCCTTTTGTATGGTGTATGGGATGCCACAATGCTGCCTATAGCACTCAACAGACTTTGTTTATTAGTTATAGCCGTTCCTCCTACAATATCCAAGTTAAAGCTTTGACTTAACTTCCTTGCTGGGGTGGAATTAAATCTATCACCATCATTTAAGTCATAGTAGCGAAGGATCACCTCCCATATATGTGTAGCTCTGGATGAAGAAGATCTGCGTACAGGAAAACATCCAATAATAGGAACAAGAGAGGTTGATTCAGGGCCAGTCAGTCCATGGTGTAGGAGGTCCCGCAAGTTGATAGCAAGGTGTCTGCGAACTGCAGTAGTCAGTGGAGCATCATTTATAACAATACCACCTTCTTCAGACTCACTGTCATAATTATCCACCATGGTATGAGATGGTCGGTCTCTGGAAACTAAGTGGAGTACACCATCCACTGACATCTCCAGTCTTGCACGCAAATTGCCCCAATGTGTAACAATAGTCGAGGACTTGCCTTCATGCCTCCTGTTGGTATTTGGGGAGCATCCAAACTGTGAAACTGTAAAGATCTGAATCAAAGTAGATGCTTTCCTCATTAAGTTTATGGTTTCTGCTCTCAAATCATCATTACTTTTACTTTTGCTGAAGTTTTTGTCAAATTTCTCAGATTTACCAACATTTTTTGTTTCAGATGTTACTTTGGTGTTTTTAAGTTCCTCATTTTTCATTAGCTTGATGAATTTCTGCATATCTTCAATATGAGCTTGCAGTTTACTTATGATTTCATCTTTCGATAGTTGTCTGTCTGCATACTGTCGGACGGCACAGTTTATCTGGTGCCTGAGTTCTTCAGCAGTGAGTGGTTGATGACATCCCTCTTCAAGGTTCTGATCTATTTCAGTGCGTAAATGATCAATTAATGTTCTGTGTTTACTGTCACTTGTGGAAGTCGGGTTTGCCGCAAATCGTTCTAATTCCTTTAGTTGAACTTTAAGTCTATCTATAAAGTGTGCCTGTTTCGTACGTTGTCGCGATATTTTCCGTTCTAACTCAACACATTCGGTGCAGGAAGCATCTCCCGAGCTGCCTTGAGGGGCTGCCCGAGAATCGTGCACTCCTCGTGAAGTAAACTCTTCAAGAGCTTTCAGCATTTCATCTTTTTCGTCCGGCGGGGCTTTCAAAATTTGTCGCAAACGGAACTCTACCTGAGCGAGATGTGAAGTCAAGGAGAAAACAGATGACGATAGGATTTCCTGTTCTTCTTCCAAGGCATGTAGTCTGTCTCCGTGGGCCTGATCTGGATTGTTTTCATCACAAAGTGTTTCCTTGGGTGCTCCCAAGGGTTCACACCGCGGTTCTTGCCAGATAGGAAAGTCATTCTCTTCGTATTCACCGGGTGTATCCATGTTTAGGTTTGTTTATTAGATTTTATTAACAAAAATAATGAGAAGCAAACATGTTTCATTGATTTTCAATCAAAACTTATGAAAAAGCCTGAAAATTATAGAAAGACGTCACAAAGGAAATGTCATTTTCATTGACGTCATTACGATTGCGGGTTGCGGGAACGAAAAGTTCAAAATGAACGACCGAGTGAAATACGAGTTTGAAGATGAAAAGAATGAAATGATTTTCAAAAGAAAATGTAGTTTAAATCGATAATAAATAAATCGTTTAGAATTATAATAAAGATAAAGTTCATTGAAAACACCTCGTACCAAAAAAAAAAAAATTAAATGCCTATTGGTAGCGACATCTATCAATGCTCGATTTAATTATTAACTGAAGGCACAGGATCACATTACAGATGGCAGGGACTACAAGGTTAACTTTCAGTTTCAACGCAATTTTTTATCATCGTCTCTGTAATTGTAGAATACTAAAACGGACGAAGTTAAATTGAGAAATACGAATGTAGTCAAATTAAAAATTTGGTTTAAATATTCGATAGGCAATTAGTTTAGGTTCCTAGGTATTAGGTAAAATCTTATAAGATTTTAAATAACTTCAGATTGCTTATTCAGGTCGTTGATTAAATCGCTTTTATAATAAAAAAATACGGGTAAAAACCTAAAATATATGATTTAATTTTATGTACCTACAGTAAAAACCTGCCCAGATATAAATATTCAGGTATAAGAGCGACTACAAATTAAACAGAAATACGGCCATTCTTACCAATCTCATAAATACCTCCTACATTTAGTTCATAACAAGAAACAATCTAAAATATCATGCAAATAGCGACTATAGTTGAATCAACATGTTAATTGATAAGTCATATCACATTGTGGTCGTAAACCACTCGCAAACAGTTTCACCACAGCTCCCCATGCGGGCAGTACGATTGCAGATTGATAACTCGCCAACTATGAACGTATAAATTCGAAGGGAACAAAATAACTACTTATATAGAAATTCATTTCGCGGTGGGGCACCCGATCCGACCGGTCGCCTTTACTTTTCGACGGAGAACACAGTCTACTTAAAATATTCGCAAAAAATAACAAAAAAGTGTGATACCGGTTCATCAACCAGTGTTGTTTAGTCGTACAGAATCGCGTTACATTTTATTTTAGGAGAATATTTTAAACTTGTGCTTTGAAAATGGAATGTTGTAAATGCAAGGAAGAAATAAAAGAAGTAAAGATGGTGAGTTTTATTATCTGTATTAGTTTTTTTTTTAATATTTGATTGCTCATTGTACTATGCATGCGATTTACATTCTATAATTTTACATTCTGATTTATATTCTGTGAAGAATTAAAGTTCTTGATGTGTAAATAATTCGTTTACACGGCTGTTACTTATTATGTTTAATAAAATAATCATGTGATCTAAACTAGAAAAACAAGACCGGGTTATTTACTTACCGGCTTGATATGAATAGTAATGTTACCTCGCGGGGTCAAGTTCGGCAACACTGCTTAGCAACGAAATGATTTACAAATCAATGATTGTATTTAACTAAAAACTTTTGAACTGTAGCTCCCCTTTTGATAATGTAGTGACATGGCTACTGTTTATTTAATGTAAATTCACGCAAAATACTAACGAATTTTGGAAAAATGTGCTTTGGTCTTTTATGGACTCTGTGGTTTGGGTAACGTAACGCGAGTTCGATTCCCGGGTCGGACAAAAAGTGGTAATTATTTTATTTATGAAAACACTGAGACATGACTTGTCTCTCTACTTCAAGTTGTTGTTTATGTACGAAGTTAAGTTAACTTATTAGCTTATGTGTTTAAGTTCACAACAAATATTTGGAAATTCGGTAGTGTTAAATGAGGAATTAAAAATTAAATGACAAAAAGAGAGACATTTAATATTATTTTATAGTTACAAAATTTTGTAATCACGCATTTATGAAAGCCACAATAACAGCACTGCGTTTGATAGAAAAAAACATTATTTATTTATAAGTCAACACTACCATACACCTACATTAAGTACCTACTTACATGCTTAATGTAGGTACGAAGTGAAAGTAATGGGTTCATGGCAATGTGCAACCATGTTTTTTACTGTTCAAGGGAGCGAATAGCCGGCCATTGTGAGATAGAACCTTTACTGAGAGGAAATTAGGTTCAATGCTACTAGACAGGTACTACAGTGATAGTTACTAACGGACTGGTTTAAAAGCTGTGTCTAAACGCTATAGGACCAGGGTGCTTACTCTTGAAACCAATCTCAATGTCAATGTGAAGCAACGCTTGCGTTGTGTTTCGTCGTGTGAGTGAGGTTACCGGAGGCCCAATTACCTTCCCCTTCCCCAATCTCCCCAATCCCTGAATCCCCAACGATCCTCAAACTCCTAATCCCCAAAAAGCCGGTGACGCACTTGTAACGCCTCTGGTGTTCCAGGTGTCCATGGGCGACGCCGATTGCTTACCATCAGGTGATCCGTCTGCTCGTTTACCGGCTTATGCCGTAGAAAAATGTAATTTAAATCCAATAAAATCCTCAATAATTATCCAATGTCAAAACTATACAACCCCTATCGTAGCTGGTAAAGTAGGATTCATAACACGGAATATAGTATAGCCAAATTCAATATTATTTAGTTCATGAAAAATCCATGCCATACGGATGCAATAGGCGCTAGTGTTGCAACTCAAGAGTACGAAATTTCACAATGTCAATGTCGATCGATCGGAATTGGATTCAAGAGTAAGCCCTGGCTGTCTTGACTATGCTGGGCCCTTTAGCACACATACATTTTTGCCCTTTTGGAACGTTTATTTTTTTTTAACATTGGGGCTATGCAAACACTAGGATTTTCTCCTATATCGTGGGTGCATTTATAAATATATACGTTCGAATACACATCACACCCAAACCAGAAACAACGATTTGTGGATCACACAAAGGTTTGCTCATCGAGCCCGCCGGCAATCGGCCGGTTGCCGTGCAACGTGTAGCGGGCGTGTTTGTCCGTCATAGAAATTGTCGGATTCTTTTGAGTCGCCTGAGGATGGGGGCCTTGGGAGCGGGCCCCAATTGGGTAGTTTCCAGGGTATCAAAATTAAAAATCTAGTTAGTCCGTCAGTTAGATAATGAAAAAATATTAGACACGTATTTTTTTAAAATACGGGTAAAAACTTTCTTGCAGTACTTAGATAAAATGGCGCTAAGTTTAGGAGTGGGAAGTCGTTACGTCATAACGTGCTACAAAACGTGGCACGCTTTGACGTCACACGATATTTCAAATTAATGTATCGTCGAAAGTATTTGATTTTGTGAAAAAATACGTGTCTAAAGTTTTAATTAATGTACCAGACGGACATTAAAATAAAATTAAGGTACTGTAAAGGACTACGCAATTAAAAGTATAGAATTTAATCTCTCCTCCTGACGGCCTAGTTCAAGTTAGTTTTACGTTGCCGAGTTAGAAACGTTACCGCGTCCAGCACTCTGATTGGCATGCACCAATGAACCAACTAATAGGGCTAAACGCGGTAACATTTCGATATCACCAACGTTATTACTAGGTTCTCGTAGGTAAATAAACTCGTTAGTACTAGGCACTTAGTTGACCCTGGAAGACATGGTGGAGCCTACGGTGGCAATGTGCCCTGCGTGGGCTGAGCACCGCCTTGTCCTCAGGGATATGATCGGCGACGGCGACCTCTTGCGTCCGGCTCTGGTTCAGACCATGGTGCAGAGCGAGGGGGACTGGGATGCCGTCTCGTCGTTCTGCAAAGCAGTCATGCTAGCTAAAGAGGAGGCGGAGCGCATGAGGGAAAGAACCACCTCACGCCCCAGCCGTCGCGAGAGACACTTCGGGCGTCGGGGATCGCGAGACGATCTTCGGCCAACGTAAGCACGGGCCTGCGGACGGCGAGCACGGGTGACTCGCCGCCCGACCAGAACCAGGCCTGAACGTACGGCGCGTCGCGTTCCGCGCGCGCCTCAAGGAGCTATTAGACCACCACAGATGGGGCCCAACAGGGCTGATGCCGATACGGAGCCGCGGAAGACTTAATGGGTTGCCGGGGCTCCGGCTCGAAGTGCAGGAGTAGGAACGGGGTGGTTTTTAGTCAGTAAGAGTCTGACACTCCCACCCGCCTCACCCGGGCGTGAGACGTCATTGGATAATATTACCCCTCAAAAAAGGCCCTTAGTTGACACATTAACATTCCATACTTAACTGACGGAATGTGAAAATTGAGAAACTTCATTGGCTCGTTTTCAAGATATTGCAGTAGCTGGATAAAAATGCATTGAACGTTACGTAAGGACCTAACGAGTGCATTCTATGCTACACACGTAAATCAACTTTCGTTTGTCTTTTCGTGTTTTGAAAGTTAAATGTAAAGGATTTAAAATAAGTCTTTCATTGATTTCATCATTCAATCAATTGTAATAAGGTTTCAATATACCTCTAATATTGAAAGATGTATAAATCTTTAGAATAAGTAGACCACGAATGTAAGTCATAAATCTGAGACATATCTCATTCCAAGCTGAGACTAGGTCGGATCTGCGGATGACGACCATTTCTACGTATAAAATGTACATAGAAGTGACGTCACGCGACATTTCAAATCCATACATATTTGATTTGAAATGTCTAAAGTATTCGTTTCTGTGAGAAAATAAAAAATACGTCTCTTATGATTTAAAATAATCTTCCAGACGGACATTAAAATAAAAATTACCCTACTACATACCTACGTATACGTGATGGGTCAAAAGTGTAACTGTAAAAAACAGATGAATAGGAAGTATTTTATACCATAAAACTAAAACACAATGCAATAAAGGTTGCAACGTCCGGATGCGCATAAATGAAACATCGACTCATGTGACGATTATAGCCATATCCATAACCAATAACGATAACATGCTGGCTCTTACCTGATTGTTTTGGTTTGTTAAAATCATATCAACCTGTATGTGTAACAGGCGAAATGGTACATGAAAGTACCTAATATTAGTGTCATTAGGTATAATGTTCCACGTATGTATGTACATCACATGAAACATTCAAAAATCTCTGTATATCACTTACCTAGTTCAATTAGAACACATTTGATGTAAAGACAGAAGAAAGCAAAGAAATCTATAAGTTTCGAGGATTAAGGGAACTGAACATTCCCCTCGTGGTGTGCCGTTACAGGTGTTTCACCGTGGGAGTTCCGGAGCAAGTCTATTTTAGAGGACTCGGTGCCCCCATCCTTACTTCCTTACTAATAATATTATAAATCGGAAAGTGAGTTTGTTTGTTTGTTTGTTCCGCTTTCACGCCTTAACTACTAAACCGATTGCTTTGAATTTTTGCAAACGTAAAGTTAAAAGTCCGGATTAAATAATAGAGTACTTTATATCGCGGAAAAATTTGATATTCCCGAGGTAAAACCAAAGTATTGGTATAGATGGCGCTGTGTGTATTGGTATATGTCACATAGGCTACTTTTTATCCTTTTGTGACGCGAGCGAAGCCGCGGGTAAAAGCTAGTAGGTAATAATGGTGGCCACTGGGGTGGTCTTAGTAAGGTAAAAATCCCAGACTCCCTAGTTTTTTATCCCCAAAAAGTAAAGCACCTTTAAAAGGTTACGCAGTTATCAAAAAAAGGGCTTAAAATAAAAAAAGTCTCTTTCAAATGCGAAAGATTAATAGACACACCTCATATTCCTCATTAACTTTTTCTAGTCATGGATAGGAAGCGAAATAAGCCTGGAATACAAGGTGGCGTGTAGATAGGATATTAAATAACTAGGCAGCATTGGGAGCCATTTAACAAAAAATATAGTATTCTAGGTCAGAGCCTTGACATTGTTCTTTACGCATGGGAACTAGAAAACCTTGCCCTATACTCAGTCAATCATGATTATGATATAAAAGGCACATTATTATTTATTAGAAAATATAAAAATAAAAACGGCCTGTATTTCTCTCAAGACAGACTCAGTATTTACACTTTTTATATTTGATGGACCGACGTTTGGTGACTATCCCGCCTGGTGCTAAGCGATGATATAGATACTTATTTCTTATCCGGTAACCTCACTGAGTCAACGCAGGCAGTTTCACGTCGGCTTCCTGTGAGGCCGTGGTATCACTCCGGTCGTGCCGGCCCATTCGTGCCGAAGCATGGCTCTCCCATACTAAATTATTTCATAGTTATAAATTAGTGCTTTGAACTTGTTGAATCTTAAAAAGTAGTTGATCAGCAGCTGAATATGAAGCTACCTATCAGTACGTATAAGACCTCGTTATTTTTATTAGACTAATGACAAAATCACCAACAAAGAATTTTCTAAGACATCTATACATACAATAAATCTGTAGAAAAGTAATTTTTGTATGTACATTGAAGAAATTGACAAAAAAATAGCCAGTGTGTTAAAAGATAAATAATAGAACCCATTTCCATAATTTTTGAAATTATTGTCTGTTTGTCTGTTTGTTTGTGCGCTCATCACGTAAAATCTACGAATTCAATGCAGACATTACTTATGTACAAAAATTCTACGTAACTTGAGGTATAACTTAGTTTTTGTTTCATCGAAATCGGTTCACTCTATCAGAAGATATGAGACCTCGTTATACTTATTAGACTAATGCCAAAATCACCAACAAATAATTTTCTAAGACATTAAGAATAAAGACACAAGACATTGTCACTTTGACAGCATTTAGAGCTTACTCTTTATTTATTTTGCTTTGCTAACCTTTATTTTATTTTATAATTATACGTATTTTGAATTATTTTATTTATTCATTGTAATAAATTACAAAAATGTCGTGCACAGTTTGTATGAACACTGAGGGGAAACCAGTGAAAATGGTGAGTGGGTATTTAAAGTATATAGGTACCTAATTGATGATGATGATGAGTCTTACTATTAGGTAGGAATTGAATGATCCTCAATTTACATGGTGTTCTTGAAGAAGCCTGTATCTTTTTAGGCCATAGCGTCTTTCGAAATATGTTCGTGTTGTATGTGTTTGTGATACAATGGTGTAGCTAGTCGTAGGCTGTGTACGTCCTCCTTACTTACCGCTGCAACCTTTTACTGAAAGAAGGTTCGCGAAAGCCTTAAGACATTGGGCTCGTCAGCAACTACTTAACTTCCTTGTAGTGCAGAGTACAAGCAGCCTTTTTCCTCTCGATTAGATTCGGTGATGCAACTCTAAAGACGGCCGTCCGTCTATCTCAATCTAACCATCTATATCAAGCCATACGACGCCGCTGGTATAATAAACTTGCAGTAGACAGAATTAAATATTCCTTTTTTCTTTAATTTCAGAGGAAAGAGCGTGACACTCTTGGGGAACTGGAAGTGCCAGATGACAGACTATATGGAGCTCAGACCGTCAGGTCTGTCATGAACTTCCCCATTGGAGGGATCGAGGAACGAATGCCGGTAAGAAATAATTTATTAAAGGATAAAATTAAATTGAGGAATTACCTAAGTAGTTTCAACATAGTCAAATCGGGGGTAAATTTAGATTTCAGAATCTAAATTAAAAAAAAACACTCACCTTTTTGGGGGAATAGGTACCTCTCTAACTGGACAGAATGTTAGCCCTACGTCAAACGCCTGGCGAAATTCTGCACTTTGTTATAACACTCAAAATTTGTAAATGGAACCAAAATTTAACTTAAACCAGTTCAATATGGTACGTAATCGAACTCGAGATCTCGTACTCTGTATTTATTTTATCACTATCGAGTAACTGAAGATAAACAAATACGCAAGTGATATCAATAAATTATTGTGTTTTTATTGCGTGTCGTGTAGTGACCCACGATGCCCTGTGATGCAATATCTTAGTAACATATTCATTCACGTAATAACTAACTAACAACGATATTTTTGACCCTTTTACTATTATTGTTACTGTTACATGTTTTTTGAATTCCACATTTAATATATTATGTACTGACTCGAATTTGAATTCTTCGAATCTTCGAGACTGCACGGTTGGCGCGGTGACTGGCTGCCGTGCAATATGTCCCGGGTTCGACTCCCGCACGGAACAACTCTTTGTGTGATCCATAGATTGTTGTTCCGGGTCTGAGTGTGATGTGTATGTGGACTTGTATGTTTGTAAACACACCTACGACACAGGAGATAATCCTAGTGTGGGGCAACGGTTTAAAACAAAAGAAAAGTGAGCAAGCGTGGTGATTAATGCTCAAACTTTCTCCTGGTGAGAAGAGACTTTTTGTCAACAGTGTGTGTTGTTGTTGATATGTCACAGATACGAATCTCTTTCAATTAAAATTGCAACCACCAACTGCCAACGAGCAAAGAGTTATTGATAGTTCATTTTTGGAAATATTTTTTTTAATAATACCATGAAGTTTTAAATTTTATTGTTTTTAAAGAGGCGTAAAACTTTACCTGGGACGGCTTCGACTGCGATAGGAGGTTATTAAACTTCATGATGGAAGGTCTTCAAAGGTCATCATAAGCGTTTGTTGAATCGAATCGATAATGATCGGTGTGGTCTGACAGTGGTATTTAATAAATAAAATATATTATTTCTGCCTCGTTGACCGTATGATAGCAAGTGTGACTGTCCGGCAAGGGGTGTCGGTCGGGTTCGATTCCCGGGTCGACCAAAGTATGAACTGGTTTTTTTAAAAAAAACTAAGTGCTACAGCATGGAGTTTGGAATTGTGCCCGGTAATGGCAATAGGCTCACCCCCTATTACATGGGACTCATAACATAAATAGTGAAATGTGGGTGTTACATTGTACTGTGACATTAAATGTCGTAGTGCATTTTGCCTACTCCTTCGGGGACAAAAGGCGATATAATAATATAATGGAAGATAATTATACAAGTTTAGCAAAAATAAAAAAATAAACAACATTAAGCCATAAAGGCTTTTTATTATTGCTAACGCCGTGTGGTAATGACAGAATAGAATCAATCAATATTTTATTACCACCGCTGCCCTACTTTTTCCACGGTCATCGTAATCACATTTACCATAGAGCTGGCAGCAGCGCTCTCTGATTCAAATTAAAATTCAAATATTGTCATGTGTACAATAGGTGTTACATAATTGGGTACAATTTTGACATGAAACCCGGTTAGGTCCCGGCTATATATAGAGCAAAATATAATCTAATTAAATTACTTATAATATTATCACATAAAAGAAAATAAAGTTATCATTTTCATTCTAAACATTAATATTTTTCCTTAAATAACATGTATTTACATAAATTTCTTAGTTTACTAAATTTGTAATTAATATTCGAATATTGATTAACGTAAATCTGTTAAAAAGAAATCTCTAAGACCCCCACCTGACGTGGAGATATGGTAAACCCCTCTTATGTAGAGGAAACCCATTTTCCAGCTGTAGACTGTCCCGCGATATTGATGTGGATTTCATAAAGTAAATAAGTAATTTTGACCCTTATCTCTTTACAGTATCCCGTGATTGTGGCCTTCGGTATCCTAAAGAAAGCAGCTGCAAAAGTGAATATTGAGTATGGACTTGATAAGAAACTCGGTATGTATAAAAGTATCTATGTTATGGCCATTTTTATCGGATAAGGAGTAAAGGAGCAGATGTATCCGTTGTATTGTTGTATTGTATACAAAACTGCCTCATTGGCCGAGTGGTCGCAAGTGCGACTGCCGGGCAAGGGGTCTCGGGTTCGATTCCCGGGTCGGGCAAAGTATTACTGGGTTTTTATAAATCTCAGTAGTAGCACGGAGTCTGGAAAAATGTGCCCGGTATATGGCAATAGGCTCACCCCCTATTACATGGGACTCATAACATAAATAGTGAAAAGTGGGTGTTACATTGTACAGTGGCATTAAGTGCCGAAATGTGCACCTCTGCCTACCTCTTCGGGGATAAAAAGGCGTGATGTTATGTATACAAAACAAGAGGAATTCCGAGTTTTGCGAGGAGTTTGAGGAAGCCTTTTTCCGCTAATCTGGATTGATTTAACTTCAATAAATTCATATAAAATTCTAAGATCATAATTATTGTCTGCAAATAAAAAATATTATTACTTTAGCCATTTCTCACGAAATGCTGAAATTTTCCTTCATAATAAAAATGAAAAATGAAGCATTTTATGCACAAAGAAAGAGATTGCAATCTGATGATATAATATTTAACTCGCACTTGTTACAGCGGAAGCCATTATGCAGGCCTGCGATGACGTCATATCCGGCAAGCTGTATAGAGAGGGTCACTTCCCGCTCGTCATCTGGCAGACGGGGTCTGGCACACAGTCTAACATGAACACCAATGAGGTAATATAGACCTTACTTCTGTATGAATACGTACTGAATTTAATTAAGTTAAAATGGTAAAAAGAATCTGAATGCGAAATTTTTGCTCACATTGAAATTACCACTTTATAAATGTAGTTTGAAATTATAATAATGATTGCGATCATTACAATGAGCTAAACACAACACCTCTGCTGTAAGTGAATGAGGAGATTTGGTTTCCAGAAGGTATTGTGGTAATGAATTAAGGTTATATACATGTTTTAAAGTGGGACAATAGAATTACTGAACAGATTAGTCTCGATTAATTTAGCATTTAAATTGTACAAATTCATCATTTGAAGTTGTAAAGTTTGTTTTCATATTTGGATGTTACACAACCACATCAAACTTGTATAACTCTTCTTTTGCAGCAATTGCAGCAATTTTTAAATTGCAGCTCAATATTTGTAATTTGCTTTCTAGGTGGTTGCAAACCGAGCTATTCAAATCTTGGGTGGTAAGTTGGGCAGTAAAAGCCCCGTGCACCCCAACGACCACGTGAACAAGTCGCAGAGCTCCAACGACACGTACCCCACCGCCATGCACATCGCCGTCGCCATGGAGCTCAGGGACAGGCTCATGCCCGGGCTTGTAGCACTTCGCGATACTCTTCAAGCAAAAGCCACGGAGTTTGAAAAGATCATCAAAATCGGAAGGTTGGAAATTTGCTGAATTGTTTATGTTTACTTAAAATGCAGTGAGAAGTAGTCTTTTTCCATCATCTTTGTAAATGAACTAGAGTTTAGTATTACTTTTATATTTTACATATTAAGCTTCATGCACTGAACGAGTACAAAGCCGGATCCATTAAAGATTACCATGACCTGTTTTGTACTTACAAAATTGCTTTCTGGACAGAACCCATCTGATGGATGCCGTACCATTGACATTAGGCCAGGAGTTCAGTGGATACGTGGCTCAGTTGACTTTTGGTATTGAGCGCATATGCAGCACCCTGCCACGCCTGCACTACCTGGCGCTAGGTGGCACGGCTGTCGGCACTGGACTCAACACACGTATCGGATTCGCTGAGAAATGCGCCGCAGAGATCGCAACTATTACTGGTAAAATTAAACCTACTAACATAATGGCTCTTTCGATCGCTATAATCCTAAAATTCATTAATTCCCAATTTTGCAAATATTCCAGGTATTCCCTTTGAAACTGCACCAAACAAGTTTGAGGCGTTAGCTTGTCACGACACAATGGTCGAAGTATCTGGAGCGCTGAACACAGTTGCATGTTCATTGATGAAAATCGTCAACGACATTCGTTTCTTGGCGTCCGGACCTAGATGCGGGCTGGGTGAATTGATGCTGCCAGAGAACGAGCCGGGATCATCTATCATGCCTGGTATGGTTTGCACGACTTCTTTAAGAAATCATAAACCCCTGTTTATAATCCACTGATTAAAAAAATATGGTGTTGTGATAACCAGGTAAGGTGAACCCGACTCAGTGCGAAGCGTTGACTATGGTAGCAGCGCAAGTAATGGGCAACCACGTCGCCTGCACCATTGGAGGCAGCAACGGACACTTCGAGCTCAACGTCTTCAAAACTATGATGGTCGCTAACGTGCTCAGGTCGATTAGGCTCATGGGTAAGTTTTGATTTTACTTTTCTGGTTAATTTCTGAATAATAGGAGGTTCAACAAAAGTTTTGTTGTATTATTTTTGTTGGAATAAAGATCTAAATTTTCCCACTTATAGCCGTTTTCGTCAACACCTAAATCATCTTTTAACTAAAAGTTACTTAGCGTGACGTAGCATCCAAAAAAACTCCTTAATTGTGTTGTTAGGTATCACTTATAGGTTGGTGAAAACCATTTTGGCGTTCAATGTCACCTAACTTAACTTAGAGGCTTTTTAAAAGTTAGGAGTGATTGGTGAACGGGCAATAGTCTACTGTACAGTTATCTTGATGGATTGTGTTTCTGTGCTCACAGGTGATGCTTGCCAGGCGTTCAACAAGAACTGTGCGGTGGGTATTAAGGCGAACACGGCCAAGATTGACAAGATCATGCACGAGTCCCTCATGCTGGTCACTGCCCTGAACCCTCACATTGGATACGATAAGGTAATTTTTATGAAATGTTGACCCAGTTTAATGTTCATTAGGATATTTTTTCTTCTTTCCTTTTCTGCCCTGTCATGTCTCTTTTTGTTCATTTATTGTTTAACCTCTTATCTGCTCTTATATGAGACACAATAGAAACACATTGTGTCTCGCGTATATCTACGCTCCCGGCATACCAGGGGTTAATCACGATCAGCATGTTGCCGTCCGCTGTTGGACATAGCCTTCTCTAGTAGCTAACCTTTAAATGTTAGTACGATCAAACTTAGAAAAATACACAGATTTAATATCTGATGATAGATAGAAGATTTATATCTGGATCTCTGGATAAGACAAGAAAATATTCCGAGCACCGTGCGTCCAATAGCAGTATAACTTAATCTCATGTTCAAACCTGTTTCAGGCCGCTCAAATCGCGAAAACTGCTCACAAAGAAGGCGGCAACTTGAGAGACACAGCTATCAAGCTAGGACTCCTAACACCAGAACAGTTCGACCAATGGGTCAAACCAGAAGAGATGTTGGGACCGAAATAGATCTTAATAATGATAATGAGCGATTTTTTCGCTTAGGTGTTAAAGTATTTCTGTAACCATTTTTGTAAAGACACAAATTCCTGTTAATGATTTCACATTGTGTGATTTCTAGTGCCAATCTTCCTGACTGTTATGCGGTGTCCCATTTTCATAAAAAACTAGTTGTTATGTCTCAATAGTTTAAGTTCCATGTGTTTATATTGTATACGCTATAATTCTAGATCTGATCGCCTTGCAGAAGTAGGGTAGTTGCCTGAATTTTACTTTAATGTCCGTCCGGTAGATTAATTTAAAATGTTAGACACGTATTTTTTCTTTTCTCAAAAATTAAATATTTTCGACTATATATTATTCTGAAATATCGTGTGACGTCACAATGCGCACAAACATTTTGTAGCACTTTGTGACGTAACGCCCTCCCCCTCCTAAACTTAACTCCATTTTATTCAAGTATTGTAACTTTATACTAGAAAAAAAAATACGTGTCTAATATTTTTTCATTATCTAACTGACGGACTAATTATATTTTTAATTTTCATTTCCTGGCAACTACCCTATTGGTATAAATATTTACCAGCCTGTTAATAGATTCTTCTCAGTTATACCTAATTATGTTACTCATTATCTTGTGAAATGTTTATTTTTTTTATATCAATATACATATTATAATGTTACTATTTGACTTTATATTACCTACCTGTATCCTCTAAAATTTATTTAATTTGAAACGATAACAGATTCCGCCATATCCTATATCCACAATATTCTCACCTCAATACGAAACATTATCAAATTCAGTGCAAATAAATATAATTAAGTCTCTTGACTTAATTATACTTGGGTATCTTTACCCAAAACACTTACATACTACTAACGACATCTAGTTTAACATGAACAAATTAACCTTAGTAACAGTCACTGTTGAAGATACTACTAGATACCAGACCTATGCAAGTGAGGAATGTTCTTATATTGTGAAGAGAGATGGCGGTGAGTGTCGTAGTAGATTTGTTATACCTACTAGCAGTCGATCCCAGCTTTGCTCGGATGCTATTTTTTAGCTACTCCGCTGTATTTTATTTTTATAATATTAATTTGGCTCACCAACAATTGATTATACTGATACATATAGGGTTACAGTTACGATAACTTAAATACTAGTGCATCAATCTATTACAGGTAAACACACCATGCAATATGTAACCAAATCCATTTAAAATAGAATTTTAATTTTCACGTTATTACTGAAGAGTTTTTGAAAAACTTCCCAACCAATTATACTTTGCACAACACGGAAACTGAACCTATAATGATTAACGATATAAGTAACACTGCATTTATACTCATTTCTTCATTATGTACATACTTGAAGAGTGGGAGAGCCATGCTTCGGCACGAATGGGCCGGCTCGACCGGAGTGATACTTACCACAGCCTCACAGAAAACCGATGTATAGCAACGCTTGCGTTGTGTTTCGTCGTGTGAGTGAGGTTACCGGAGGCCTAATTACCCTCCCCTTCCCCAATCTCCCCAAGTCCTGAATCCCCAACGATCCTCAAACTCCTAACCCCCAAAAGGCCGATAACTTGTAACGGTGTTACAAGTGTAACACCTTTGGTGTTCTAGCTGTCCATGGGCGACGCCGATTGCTTACCATCAGGTGATCCGTCTGCTCGTTTACCGGCTTATACAATAAAAAACAATAATACTCATTATGCATCCAATTATCACTGTATTTTATTTATTGGTTTTGGCCCCAGGTGTTCCAAATCTGATGACAAACACGAAAAGTTAATGTTAATGTTAACTTTGATCTTAATGTTAATTATCTATATATATAAAAGAAAGTCGTGTTAGTTACACCACTTATAACTCAAGAACGGCAGAATAGATTTGGCTGAAAATTGGTAGGGAGGTAGCTTAGAGCCAGGAAACCGACATAGGATACTTTTTAACCAAAAATTTTTTTTTTACTTTTTACCGAAAATCACGAACGGGGACGGGAACAAATGGGATTACGCGTACGAAGTCGCGGGCATAAGCTAGTATGTAATACTTGTCAATGTATGATCAAAACTCACAAGTGGTAAACGTTTACACCTACTATTGTGTCTCTCTGCATCACCCTAAGGTTGACTGTTAGAGAATGCCACTAGGCATTAAGTCCGCCTTTGTATACCTACATGAAGTGTAAATAAATAAATAAAAATAAAAGTATAGAGATGTATTCTACTCTAAAATAAAATTAGCAATGTATTGTATATTTAAGTATATGTACTTGAAGCTATCTATCAGTAACCAATGTCCGCGTATTATCGAGACGAGCCATAATTAATTGGCCTGCCGTTGAAAGCAGGTCATTGGGAAAATATTCCCCCACCGCCAGGGAACGTCAACATTTTTTGTCGAATTAATTTCGTAATTTAATCTGCGAGTTTTTGCGTATTAAGTCTACAGATTAATTAGCTAAGTGTTTATCACTATTTTGTGAAGTGCAAAAGCGTATATGAATTTCAATACTGAGGTTAATGTATTTAAATGATTGATATCTTTTTTTTAAGCTTATGAGAATATAGTAGGTATTTGGAAATTTATTATTGTTGATTACACTTAAATTAAAATCTGCAAACTAAAATAACGGATTTTTTTAAGGGGGAATCTTATCGAATGACTGCTCCCGCCTGGGTGACGCGGGAGGGAGTGTCAGACTCTTACTGACTAAAAACCATCCCGTTCCTTATCCTGCACGTCGAGCCGGAGCTCCGGTAACCCATTAGGTTCTCCGCGACTAAAATTACTGATAGGCTTCATACACATGGACATGATAAATTATAATTATCAGTTTACCTAAGTTTACAATTTTGGAAACGCAGTATTGTTTGACATTGTCCACTTTTTATACAGAAAAATGACCAATGACCGATGGTTTAGCCTCCCTGCTCTGATCATCCACGTACATCTATTTTAGCGCGGCGATATGGTCCGTTAATAGATAATTTTGTGGTTTATTTTGTGTATTCATATCACGTATCGATGGGAAATTATAGAGATATGATGGTATTGGTCATTAACACATATTTGCTCCATTATCTTGGTGGGAGCCGTTGTTTTGCTAGAAGTAAGGTTAAGTGCGATTGTCATCAATTTATACATAACATCACGCCTTTTATCCCCGTAGAGTTACTACTCTACGGGGATAAAAGGCGTGAGTTGCACATTACGGCACGTAATGCCACTGTACAATGTAACACTTACTTTTAGCTATTTATGTTGTGAGCTCCATGTAATAGGGGGCGACCCTATTGCTATATACCGGGTACATTTCCAGACTTCGTGCTACTGCTGAGAATTTTTTAAAACCTATTTTGACCGACTGGGGAATCAAACCAAGACTCCTTGTCCGGCAGTGTAATTGTGGCCACTCGGCCAACGAGGCAGTCATTAAATGTAAATGTAATCATTTTAATTGTTCATTAATTTGATTGGAGCTCAACATACAGCTTTCATGCTTATTCAATCACAATCGGCAAAATATTTCGGCAATCACCGTGATTTCGTTATCAAGCTTTGATACTTTATTTAATATGTTTCATTTCTTTTATAGTTTACACTTATTTATTTTGAAGTACGTTACGTACGTTAAGTTCTATGATGTCATCAGAACACCACTACGTCTTGAATCAATATCTATCACAAGTTTGCTCCAAGTAAGTAATACATTCTGTGCAAATGTGTGTCTGACGACTATGTGTACTCCTATTTGTCGTGTGCTTACATTCTCGAAGCTTAGGTACAGTTGATCGAACGATGGCACATAAAGATATATACATGTGTAGATACTTCAATATCTATATAATAATACAATCACCCAAACGATCCTCAAACTCCTAATCCCCAAAAGGCCGGTAACACACTTGTAACGCCTCTGGTGTTTTCAGTGTTCATGGGCGACGCCGATTGCTTACCATCAGATAATCCGTCTGCCCGTTTACCGCTTATCTCATAAAAAAATACACAATCTCGTACAAAATTCATAGAAAACTATAGTTTTTGACAGAAAAAAAAATTGTTTTCTAATGACACGCTGTTTTGGTAGGTTTTAGCGTGTACGTTTTGAATTAAAGATGCAATCAGATGCTAAAAAGATATTTATAAAAGTTAACCGAAACCAATTGCTGAGGAAATAGGTATACCTACCTACCTATTACCACAGCACATATTATAGGTATTACTTCTAGCTATAAAACTCTCCTGACGTTGAGCAGTGGTGCATTTAAATCGTACATACATCGTCTTTCACAAGAGGTCCAGCCATTTACCGTGACAGTTGTGTAGGGCTCTCTTTCTCTCTGCAGGGGACCCGTATCAATCATGATTATTAAAACCAGGGACAATGAACCCTTTTATTCGTATTTTCACTTTCAACATCAATTGTTGGAGCCTGATTTTCCGCGTAGGTTTGTGGTTGAATTGTTCTGATTTAGCGAGTCAGCTATGTGATGGGCATTGTCAATCCTTTGAAGTGTGAATTGATGGTTTTATATAACTAGGTGTTTGGAAGGTCGATGGCGAAAACTTTCTTAGTTCTCTTAACTACTATTTTCAAGGTCTTAGCAATCATCTTATTTAGATTTTACATCGACCTCCCAAACGCAAGTTAATTGTATTTTTAAGTTAAGGTAGGTACATGTCTAACATATCAATATCAGAGTCGAGATGATTAAGTTGGTATAATCTATGTTGTACTTTATAATAACTATCGTGAGACATACTAAATTAACTAAAATCGCGGGTTACTCACGTGAATATCCTGAGAAAAGCTCTACAAGTTTCGAACCGGAGAGGTTGTCTTCCTCTGTGGTTCGAAACTAGTAGAGCTTTTCGTAGCTTCTGTGTTGTACTTGTCCAATTCCCCATTCTCCCCAATCACTGAATCCCTAACATTCCTCAAATTCCTAATCTCCAAAAGGCCGGTAACGCACTTGTAACGCTTCTGGTGTTTAGAGTGTCCATAAGTGGTGCAGATTGCTCACCATCAGGTGATCCATCTGTTCGTTTACCGGCTTATCCCATAAAAAAACTTAATAAGTTTGACATGAGTCCCAGTCGATTTTTAAGATGTAGATGTCGAGTACTTATTCCAGTATCCTTTTCTTCTAAATCTTCACTAACTTTATTGAATTGCTGGTTCTGAAAAAATATATTTAAAAGTGTATTATGTTACAAAAGCGGGCTATTCATAAAAGTGTTATATACTTTAACTGCCAAGTTTAAAATGGTGAAAGTCAAACCTCCACTAGCGTCAGGCACCGGTGACTGACGTGGCACTCTAAGGGTTAAAAGTATTTTTTCTTTTCCATTCTCAATAATGTTTGACGTTGAACAGAAGATTGTCACAAACGATATGGAAGGGATCACACCCGTGTGTCAACTTTCTCAATTAAAAGTTTGCCGCAAATCGATACTTGTGTCTTGTTTGTATCAGTCGAATATTGCTTGACACTTCATTAACCGCTATGATGGAATTAAGATGGATCCGTTTGAGAGTTTACTAGCCTTTCCGTTGATAGTGTTTGGAAATATTTAGTTATCCTGTACATAAATATTAATATCATAACATAACATCACATCTTTTATTCCCGAAGGGGTAGGGAGAGATGCACATTACGGCAATTAATGCCACTGTACAATTTAACACCCACTTTTCACTATTTATGTTATGAGTCCCACGTAATAGGGGGTGAGCTTAGTGAGCCCGGCAGTCGCACTTGCGATCACTCGGTCAACGAGGTAGTAAATATTAATAGCCCATGGCAAATTCCTGATACCTCTGATAGGCTATGGACCCTAGAAGAGGGCTTGCTTTAAGTATCATGCATGGCACGTAAACTAGAAAGCATAAGAATTGAGCGCTCTTTTTTAAAAATCACTTCGTACCCTTTGGGAATATGAGTCTTAATTTAAATCTCCATAATTTAATCAATCCATATTAAAGCTAACATTACCATGCCAAACTAAAATTATATCGTGTGAACTAACGAACATAAACGGTTTGTAAACACGAAGTTAAAGTTTAACTGTGAGTTAAAACAATGGGAGTGTTGCCCGATAAACAGCTCAAGATAAAGCGTTCAACAACTTTATATCATGAATGTTGCCAGCTAACAGTTTTAAATGACAATTTACTGGCTCGCTTGGACTCAGCACAAATTGCTAGATTTATAAATTAAATATATTTGACCAAAGAGAGCTGTTCTGCAGTTTAAGATATTCTGTTAGTGTTGTCTGTTGCTGTGCAATGCATTCTGTTGAGAATGCTCTAGTGGTTCGTTAGTTAGTGTTTCTTTTAATTATATTTTGTATTATTATTTTTTTATGGCATAAGCCGGTAATTGAGCAGACGGATCACCTAATGGTAAGCAATCGGCGTCAAGCGTCGGCGGCTGGTAATTGTAACACCAGAGGCGTTACAAGTGCGTTACCGGCTTTTTGGGGATTAGGAGTTTGAGGATCGTTGGGGATTCAGGGATTGGGGAGATTGGAGAAGGGGAAGGTAATTGGGCCTCCGGTAACCTCACTCACACGTGTTGTCGTTGGATAAATCTTAATTTCTGTTTCTCATTTTATTAAAGCTTTTGAGAAAGGATGAGTAGAGTGGTATACCTCAAATACGGAAAATCAGAGTTAGATACCTTCTTTATTTCTAGGGGGCGCTGCAATAATGGTTAATGACATTCGAATGTCTGTCTCGTTGGCCGAGTGTTCTCAAGTGCGACTGCCGGGCAAGGGGTCTCGGGTTCGATTTCCGGGTCGGGCAAAGTATTACTGGGTTTTTTAAGAATTTTCAGTAGTTGCACGGTGTGCGGAATTGTGCCCGGTATATGGTAATAGGCTCACCTCCTATTACATGGTACTCATAACATAAATAGTGAAAAGTGGATGTTACATTGTACAGTGGCATAAATGTGCACCTCTGCCTACCCCTTCGGAGATAAAAAGCGTGATGATATGTTATGGTACATTCGAATGAATGTGTAATAATAATTTAAACCACGCGATTGATAGCTAGTTTATAACTATAGTAAAATGTGCACCTCTCCTTATCTCTTCGCAAAGGGAAAAAAACAACCACACTTGATCTATTAAAACAAAATACTTTACACATACATCCTACATTATACCTAATCAACGGCTAGATATATGACATAAAAATCTACCTGTTTTTGCAAATTCCAAAAATATCGCCAGTGTACAAGGACCGGCGGGAAGGGATAAAATTAACGTGTGAAATCAATACATCAGAGCCGAGCGTAAGGCAATTAGCTACGGATTTTGAATTCAACGCCAAAGAGGAACTTATACGTGCTTATACGATGAAAAGATTTTTTGGAAAATAAGAATGAGTAAATTCTACTAATATTATAAATACGAAAGTTTGTGACGATGTGCGTGCGTGACAGACTATTATTTATTTTGTACTAGCTTTTACTCGCGGCTTCGCTCGCGTCACAAAAGGAAAAAAGTAGCCTGTGACGTAGTAACATAGTAATACACACAGCGCCATCTATACTAATACTTTTGTTTTCCCTCGGGAATATCACATTTTTTCCGGGATAAAAAGTACCCTATTATTTAATCCGTACTTCTAACTTTACGTCTGCAAAAATTCAAAGCAATCGGTTTAGTAGTTACGACGTGAAAGTGGAACAAACAAACAAACAAACTCAATTTCTAATTTATAATATTAGTAAGGATTTGTTGACGTTTCAAAAGTACCAAATTATGGTTTAATTGAAATAAATGCTTTGACTTTGATTTTGACGTGTTTGTTACTCTTTTACGTGAAAATGGCTAAAAGGATTGAGATGAAAATTGGAACAAGGGTAGTCTATTGTCTGGAATAACACAGGCCACACACACACACACACTTTTTGGGGAACGCGAGCGAATCCGCTGACAGGAGCTAGCACTGTATTAATTGGAAGTAGATTTATTATCTGCAGGTTGAAGGACTACTGTTTTCTATTTCCATCCAATGGCTTTCAAGATGTCTCCAGCCCACGCTATGTTTAAGGTCGCCAATCAAGCACTTTCCTATTTTTCTATTTCGTAGGTAGACGAGTTGTCACATTCTATTATTATGTTAGCCTTTTAGTGCTCTTATGTACCATTTCTATATAAAACAGTGTATACAATATAAAAGTATAATATTCTATTTTATAACTCCCAGTCGCAGAAAGAGCATAAAATGCTAGTTTGCAGAGAAATCTCTCGTATTTCTATCAAATGCTTTCCTTGCTTCAATTGGCACGCGAGCATTGAATAGCGTGCTACACTATTACAGTTCCCTGGAAAAGCCGTTTACTTGAAGGGGTCTTGCTACCATTACTGAACGGTTTAGAAATATATTCTAATGGCAGTGAAACGGAAAAAGAAACTTCTAAGGAGCTTGTGATAAGTAAAAAAGATTGACTAGTTATTAAAAAAGAATAATAAGAATAATAACAGCTTCGTTGGTCGAGTAATCGCAAGTGCGATTGCCGGGCAAGAGGTGCGATTCCCGTGTTGGGTAAAGTATAGAATTACTGTTTTTTTTAAATCTCAGGAGTAGCACGGATACTGGAATTATGCCCGGTATATGGCAATAGGCTCATCCTATATTAAATGGGACTGATAACATAGATAATGAAAAGTGGGTGTTACATTGTACAGTATTCTCTATCTGGCTTTCGGAGATAAAAGGCGTGAAATGATGTTACGTGATAAAATAATACTTAAGTATGCAGCTGCTCTCGACGTACTCGATTACGATTCGATTATTCAGAAATCATTGTCATATAGGTACGGCCTGTGTCTGTCATTCCGCCAAAAGACTTTTGACTTTTGAATAGTGCGCTAATGATTTTGATGTTAATTTTTTGATGAGTTATTTATAGGGATTTGAAATTTCATTAATTACAAAATGTTGAAAATTATCTATGTTGAATCTAGGATAGGTAATACATAAAGAAAAAGAAACCTTCCCTGGTTTAGGTACCAATTTCAGTACAAGAAAAAGCATACAAATACATTGTGTCTAGAAAATAGGAAACTAACAGAGATGTTATCATGTTTGCACCTAGTTGTATATTTTACTCAGCAAACATAGAGCTTTCCCAGAAGCCCTGTGTAAGGGATCCATGACAAGCGTAGCTTTACCGACAAGATGGATCGGCCATCGGTAGTTCACGAACACAACCCCTTCCACAACCTTGGAACACGAAGTCCATTTATTTTGCTTATCTAAAATAGATAACATTTTAGTGGTTCGAATTAAAAAAGAAAAATCCAGTCCATAAAGTTTTAATCTTGACATTACGATATGAATCTGTGAAAAATTAGGCAAATTTTCCCACTAATTTTATGTTCGTGGAGGAATTGGACCTTACTATCGCTTAATGATAAAGTCCTAGACTTTTAAACTCCTTTTTTTTTGACGGGGGGAAACCTTAAAAATGTGTCTAGCTATTTGGGGAGAATAGGGAGTGTGAGATTTTTACCTCACTAAAACCTCCCCGGTCGCCACCATCCGCACCTGAAGGAGGCACGGGGTTTTCTTAGAAGACCAGCCCTGGATCCCCCACACTTTTAAATTTCCACAAAACCTTTCTATAAACCACGTCTTTTAGCATTCAAAATTTGCAGTCAGGATGTGGTAAATAAACACCAATTTAAACTAACATATTTATTAAAAAGAACGTTTTCTCAAATTATATTCATAGTGAGATACTCCGAGAAAGAATCTGTACACAATCCCAGCTACCAGACCACCCGAAAGGGGTCCAGCCCAGTAGACCCAGACGGCATCATAGATCCCCATCATTACTGCTGGTCCCAAAGACCGGACAGGGTTGAGAGAGGAGGTGTATGGTATACTTGCACAATAACAACCTGTGATGCACATGCCGATGGCCAAAGGAGAAGACCCGAGTCCCCTAGACCCTCTTTTGGAGTCCAATACACTTAATACAACAGATACAAGAAGGAATGTCATCAGGAACTCCAGAGCGAAGGCCTGTTCGTGTCTGGTGTCAGTGTAAGGTAGTGTGGCTCCGAGGTTTCCTCTGAGTTTGGCTGCTGACACTAAGTATGCCACTGCTGAACCTGATGGTGTAGAAAAATTGAGTTGGTTAAAGATTTTTTACTTAAGATATTAGAACTAGATTAGATTATATTCATGTTGTTTTAGAAGTACTTATTATACTGAGAAAAGCTCCACTAGTTTCGAACCACAGAGGGGTTCTTTCTCATAAGCAACGTGAGCGGTCGCGCATTCTACTGACATCGCCGCGACCCTTTGTGGTTCGACAATAGTAGAGCTTTTCTCAGTATATTTACGTGAATAACCCGCGATTATTAGTTAATTTTGTATGTTACACGATAGTTATTATAATAACAAGTACTTATTATATCTTTCAGGTTTGTTTGGTAATTATACATTTTACAGATCTTTTTGAATTTCTTCATATAAATAATAAAATAACGCCTCTATATTCAATTAAAACGTTAACCTTCCCATTTGAAGGCTGCTAGCGTAAAAACACCGTCCTTTACATAAAAGATAATTATAGTTTAATTAAAATAAAGTTAAGTCCTCATTAATTTATTGTCTGGCGTCTCGTACGTAGGATCCAATTTGAGGCAAGGCAATTAATTTCAGTACTTATGATAAAACGAAGCTAGTGTAATGAAATTTCTTTTCTTATTTCTACTAAAACTGATGTAGTAAATTATTTCGAATTAAAACCTTAATGTCGACATTAAAGTGGCTGTAAATTACTTGGTTATATTAGAACACAGCTTAGTTAATAAAGGAAGGAATAGTCATTATTTTATTGCGTTTCATTTTTAATTAAAATTTCCGTCGATTGCCAAGTCGATAGTTCGAATTTTTAAACTTTATAACTTCGAAATTATCACATTCATATAGCATTAAACACCCTCAAAAAACAACACAATTTAACACACAATTTCCACAACACCACAAATTCTAACCACAAATATCCACACGTCAAAACCAGGACCTACCTGCAACGCTACCCAAAACTTGCATAGCGACAAAGCACACGGCTTTCAATGGCTTTATATGTCCACATACAAGAGCTCCAACGGTTACAGCAGGATTTATATGACCACCAGACACATGGCCACACATCTGCACTATACTTGCAACAACTAAACCATTAGCCAATGAAATTACAACTGTATTATTATTTGTCTCATTAGCGATCCCAGCAGACAATACTATGCATAAATACAAGAAGGTTCCAAGGAATTCGGAAAATAATTGCTTGAAGAGTTTTCTGTAGTTTTTCATCTCCTTCGTGCCTAGACAGCGGCCTATGGCGTGCATTGTGTTTGTTACTGGATAAGCCAACTAGATTAAGATCGAGGTTGATTTCAATTGAGCGTTAGGAAGGTTGTACAAAGGATTAAGTCGTTTAGTTCATTATTAACTGAACAAAAATGTCTAAAACTATTTTTTCCGGGTTTGTAGTTCAAGAACATAGAGATAAAAGTTCTAATAATGTTGTAATACATTTGTCTTGTCAGTGTTTTATAAAATCATTACATACATTTATACACAAATTAAGGGTTAACCGATGTAGACACGATAATAAACGCTTCAATAATTTCTAGCTAATATTTCATTCGAAGTTATAACCGGTATTATTTGACATTTTTTTATTTAAAGGAGTTCAGTTTTGTGTTTGCTCATCGCCTTTGTGTTCCCAGCTTAAAGGTAGTCATCTTGAAATAATTGTTGAAGCTAAAACCTTGTTAGGCTTAAAGGCTAAGTTTATTAATTTTTGATAGAACTCTCTATTAATAAGTCTTTCTCAAAGATATTGGTGTTTAAATTTAATTTCCAATATAGCTTGCGGCTTTGTAGAAGTTCGATGTATTTCGTACTAATTAGATACACTTTTTTGTTAGCAATAGGGATGATGACAGGGTATGAAATTTAAAAATCTAATTAGTCCGTCAGTTAGGTAATGATAAAATATAAGACACGTATTTTTTATTTTTTGTTGTATGATAAAATAATACTTGATATAACGAATCAAAGTTTAGGAGTGGGGGCTAAAACGTCATTTCTACGTATAAAATGTACATAGAAGTGACGTGACGCGACATTTCAAATCATTACATCGTCGAAAGTATTCATTTCTGTAAAAAAAATAAAAAATACGTGTTTAATATTAACCTTATTCTCTATCGACTAGTTTCAAGCCATGCTAGAGGCTCATATTTTATACAAAGTCAAAGTCAAAATCGTTTGAAAACGAAGGAGGGACGTTGAAAAAATGGCGGACGTAATGTCACTTATAAATGATTGAAGCATCAAAATGTCAGTGGTGTATTTATGTGTGCGTGTACGTGCAACACCGTAATGTACCTACGAAGTGTAATGACGGGTCATGTCACGTGACAGATGTCCTTCGTGTCAATGTGTGTGTATTTCGTGTGTAAGTCTATAGTAGCCAGGTGCCACAGTCGTTGTTTTAATAGACTATATCCGCCTGATTTCAACGTCCTTGACATATATGACAATATATATAAATCAGGTTGTTTAAAGCAGCAATAGCCATTGTTCCCATTGTCCCCTGACACCTTTGACCCAGCACTCCGTAAAGGTACGCTTACATGGCCAATTTCATCCAATCCTGTTATATGATTTGTTTGTTAAATCCATTTTTCGCGTGTAAATAATGTATTCGTTTGCTCTTGGAAAATCAGTGTATCGAGTTACAGCGGTGTGAAATGTAATGGGTGAGGCGTGGGGGCACTGCGAGCGGGTTTTTCTAGATATTGGTTTTTATTTTTAAGGCGTTCATTTTGAAGAGCAGTGAAAATGTGCGTGCGGTTTTTAAGATAAAAATACATCGAAGAAAGATGCAAGAGGCACTCCAAACATTAAATTAAGATTAGATACAATGAAGAGAACATGTGTAGTATTTGCATGATAGCATGGTAACATTTTTACTGGACTTAAATATTTTAACGTCAAAAGTGAGTAACTTACTTTGTTTTTATAATAACTATCGTGAGACATACTAAATTAACTAAAAATCGCGGATTACTCACGTGAATATACTGAGAAAAGCTTTACTAGTTTCGAACCACAGAGAGGTTCATCCTCATGAGCAGCGTGCGCGGCTCGGAGTGCAGGAGAAGGAACGGGGTGGTTTTTAGTCAGTAAGAGTCTGACACTCCCTCCCGCCTCACCCAGGCGGGAGGAGTCATTCGATGGTTTTCCCCCCTTAAAAAAAACCCAACGCGTCCTCTGCCGGACACCACGAGCGTTTGCTTCCAACTCCAGAGGCAAGGTCGGATTTCACGAGGGTGGCAATGCCCAGCCACCTTCTCTCATCACCTCTGTGGTTCGGAACTAGTACAGATTTTCTCAGTATATTCACGTGAGTAACCCGCGATTTTTAGTAAATTGAGTTACTTACTTGATGATTTTCCTTTAAGAAAACAGAGACTAGTAAAAAACAAGTTGAATGCAAATTACCATCCGCTAAAAATCGCTACCCGCTGACAGTGACGCCACGCAGTGTGAAGTATCAAATTTTTCATTCCCGCGAACATCTCGCTTGATTATAACACAAACAGACGAATTGTATTGTTTGTTTTTTCGTCGCTTTTCTTTCCATTTTCTATACAAACACATTTTCTGTTTGTTCGTCTAAAATTTTTGGTTGCTGAAGTAGCAATTTTACTCCCATAGCTACTATTTTTTTTTGTTACTTTTTATATCTAGTTATTCTGTGAAAACATTTGTTTACTTTCACGTTTTTGGTGAAAAAGTTCTTCGGACTGCTTGATTATTGAATGGAAAACATTAATATTCTGTTGACCACCATCTCTACTCTTCCCGCGGGTTAGAGGAAATTCGAGCAATAGCTTAACCTCTTGTCTGTCGATGTATGAGTTACAATAGAAAACACATTGTGTCTCGCGGAGATTTGCAATCCGACAAACAATATTATTATGTTAATATTTAATTTCTCTCTTTCTCTTTTTTTAAACATTGCCCCACACTAGGATTTTTTCCTGTATCGTGGGTGCGTTTACAAACATACAAGTTCACATACACATAACACCCAGACCCGAAACAACAATTTGTGGATCACACAAAGAGATATTCCGTATAGATATTCCGATATTAATAAAAAACCCTGTAAATAAATAAAAAAAAAAAAAAAAAAGGATTCGAACTCGCGACACGTTGCGCGGCAGCCAGTGGCCGAGCCACCGCGCCAACCGTGTAGTAATTTATCCAAGCTAGGCTATGCAACTTCATGTTCTTGTCGGATTTACCTACATGATAAGGACACGCAAATTAAAAAAATACCTTATAATAAAACCTCTATAACTTGACGTGCGAAGGTCTTATTAAAATAATATCTTATGTAGAAACAATACAAGGGAAAAAGTACATAATATTTACCTCTCAGTTCTCTTGAATATAAATCTTTATTTGCCTGTCTTATCTTGTTCAGATACGAATATGTGAGTTTTTTTGTTTCTCTTGTTTATAGAGTTATTTAGGTAGGTTGTTTGGTATAATATTATTATGTTTGGAATGCTAGACTGCCTCGTTGGCCGAGTGATCGCAAGTGCGACGGCAAGGGGTCTCGGGTTCGATTCCTGGGTAGGCCAAAGTATTACTAGGTTTTTTAAAAAAAATCTCAGTAGTAGCACGGAGTCTGGAATTATGCCCGGTAAATGGCAATAGGCTCACCCCCTATTACATGGGACTCATAACATAAATAGTGAAAAGTGGGTGTTATATTGTACAGTGGTATAATGTGCACCTCTGTATATTTTTATATTCCCTTCGGGGATAAAAGGCGTGATGTTATGTTATATTATATTTGGAATGCATTAATAGTACCAGTCATGAAATTAGACCGTGAAATATTAGTAATTGCGTACATATCTACAATGGGTTGGTTAAAAGGTAAATGTTAGTGAGAGCTACACTTCAGCACGAATGGGCCGGCTCGACCGGAGTGATACCACGGCCTCACAGAAAACCGACGTGAAGTAACGTGTTTCGTCGTATACGTGAGGTTACCGAAGACCTAATTACCCCCTCCCTACCCAATCTCTGAATACCCAACAATCCTCAAACTCCTAATCCCCAAAAAGCGTTAACGCATTTGTAACACCTCTGGTGTTTCGGGCGACGTCGACTACTTACCATCAGTTGATACATTTGCTCGTTTACCTGTTTATCCCATAAATAAAATGTGAAATCTAATAATATCTGTAATTTTGAATTTTGATTAAATATTCTACTTCCAAGATGTAACAAATGAAAATATGAACGTCCTTCGCTACAAAAAGCTTAAGTTTAATTAAAACCCTACTTCTTTACTAAGGTAAAGAAGTATCAAACCAGTGTATATCAAACCAGAACTAAGGTTCTGGTTTGATCGAACCAGAACCTTAGTTCTGGTTTGATCTTTGATTACATTATTTCTTTATGTGCACTTCTGTCACTAAAAAATTACAAAACAATATTAAAAAACAACTTCAAAACAAATACAAACGAGAGCGACTGTATACGGAATATGATTTTACATGCAATCTTTACACGTACTGTATTGAAAGTAGAAGTTCAAAGGGAAATAAATAAAATGGCGACGTGTACTGTTACAAGTAATGCACGAATAGTATTTGGAATCTTATGCTGAAGGAAAATCGACATAAGTATGATCTTGTTCCTTTTACTCCGAACTACTACAAAGTAATGAGAAGAGATGTTGTAAGTTCCACTCTCATACGGAACAACGTTTGTATAATTTTCAAACTGTTATTACGTAAGTGGATAAGATTTCCATATCAAATTAAGAGTTTGGAAACAAAATCACGACTTATAAGCTTAGTGTGGGTCCATGTTTTTTAAACGAGCAGATGAATCACCTGATGGTAAGTAATCGCCGCCGCCCATGGACACCTGAAATCCTAGAGGTGTTACGAGTGCTTTACTGGCCATTTAGCGATTGGGAATTTCAGGATCATTGGGGATTCGGAAATTGGGTATATTGGGGAGAGGAGTAATTGGGCCCCCGGTAACCTCACTCACACGACGAAACACAACGTAAGTATTGTTGCACGTCGGTGTTCTGTGAGGCCGTGGTATCACTCTAGTCGAGTCGGCTCATTTGTGCCGAAGCAAGGCTCTCCCACACGTAAATATATTACCAACTTTCTGCTTTTTGTGTACGAATCAGTAAGAAGAATAGGTATTATCATCAAAAACCACATGATAGAATATCTTGGTCACGTACTGAGACACGACAGATGGACAGATATATGCTGTTTCATCTTATAATA